CAAACGTCGTTTTTACGTCAGATTTAAACTCACATCTTTGTGGAATAAAAATTCAATTCTTACTATAAGCAATATTGATATAACTTAATTGTTTTATTTTGGAAAATAGGGATCAAATGTGTAATTATTTGAGGATAAGCTTGAAAGGATGAAACGAATTAAAATAACGTATCTTGTCCTTATCAAAGACCACCAATTCTATATTAATATGCTTCGATCGATCCAGAACCATCCAAACAAAGCAATAATATTTTGGTGTATGGTGTAACGATTTGAGTGGAAAGGCTCCTTTTCTTTAAGATGGCTACAGCAATCAAAAAGTAGTTTATCTTGTTATCTTATGTTTACATCAATTCGTGATGGAATGTTTGTAAATTTACCGACACAATAATTTGTCTGTTATAAATTTTTATACTTAATCTAAGTGGTTCTGTCACCCGTGAATTATTTCTCTATAATATACATATGTTGAATTTAATTAATTTATTCGCAAAAAGTACGGTTTCTAACCATTGATTTAAAAATTGAAAAGAAAATGTAATGAGGAATCGCCACATAGTGAATTAATTATATTAATTAGTATTGATAATAACAGTGATAGAACAATCGCAAAGTAAACATAAATGGTGTACATTAAATTAATAGTGAATTAAATAATGTGATGACTAATGACCCCCCCCCCTTCCGGCCCCAAGTAAGACTCTTACATATATATTCAGTGCATTTGACGAAATAAAACGTCAAAACTCTTTTAATTTAATGGAATTGATTTTGATATATTAATTAGTATAAATTTCCTTTCAATTGTAATTAAATTATATATGATCAGAGATTATTAAATATGTTTCACAATCACAAATAAATATTAAAGGAGTCTAAATAATTTAATGACAATATCCAACTCATTCATGTGTGAAAAAAAAAATACTAAAATTAAATTGAATCAAAATTAAACGATAACTTTTAATTCACCAAATCTGTTTCAGCATCTTGTATGTGATTCTTTAATCTTGTGCTCATACATGCTCTTAAAGAACAATCTCAATGTGGAGAAATGTAGATTGCGTAATAGGTAGCCCTTAAACAAGATAAGCATCTTTGTAACTCTTAGTTCGGCCTGCAGAACCAAGTTGTGAACAAATAACAGAAGAATGATCTATTTTTACGTTATTTTTTTTTTTTTATGTTTAGAAAAAACAATTCTTAAAATTAATGGGAACACAGTTGATAAAAAAGGGCCGGCATCCCGATACCTCTATTTTTAATCAATTAATTAATGATATAATTAACAATATTAATAAAATAAAGTCACTTTGCCTAAAAAAGATAAATCGAAGTCGATGAAAAAGTGCTCAGTTCATGATCGTGGCATTTTGGAATTTGGACATTTTGCTTTACTTACTTTAGATATTTTGAATAAAATTATAACCCCAAACCCAATTATTTGATTAAAAGACTAATCACCCTCCTTATAGTATATGACGTAGAATATTGAATACATTCATAAAAGTTTAACAATGAAATAGAAAAAATTATTAGTTTCTTTAAATGAAATGTTACGATACAATATATATTCTTTTGTTTGTTTAATTTCATTTTAGAAAGAAGAGTTTACATTAGAAAGAGAAAAAATTATAATTATAATTTATTATGTATATCCATTTATTTTATTATTTATTACTATCTATTAAATTATTTTCCTTGATATAAGTAGGTAAAATTTATTTTACTCTTTCTAACATAGAGGATTTGGTCACTTATAAGTTATAATTTTATATTAATAGATAATAGAATTAGCAGTTTAGTTAAATAAGAGATTAATATTCTTTAATTTTTAAAATAGAAGAGAAATTATAACTATTAATCTAAAAAATATATAAAATGCTTTTCAAAATTTTCAACGCACCTTAAAAGTAAACCAACCGAAGCTTAATTCAAAATAATCGGTAATAATCCGACACTGATGAACCCAACTCTGATATATCTTTATTTCTTTGAAGCATCAATGCATGCACAAGTCCCACGTTCACAAAAGCAAAAGGAAACTTGCAGCCTGATCTCAAAAACTAAAACGAACATGTTTCCTTATATCGTAGACAACGTAAGAATGATGGTACTTCATGTCGCTGGTTAACATATGTATTGTTTTATATATCCCGTGATAAGTTTATTACTTTATCGTTTTCTTAATCCGTGAACTATCACACACGGATTTAACTTCATCACGCTCTTTTTACCTTCATTTTGTCTCCTTTTCAATTTCTTTTCTCTGCTTTAATCATCAGAACTATTTTTGTTTGTGTATTTTTTGGTCCAAGGAAAGGATTCTTCTAAATACAATGCCTCTTACGATTGTATGTCAAGACATACACACACTATAAGTAATAGGAGCTTCTTTCTACTAGTTACGCTGTGTTGATTACAACCCTTGATCGTGTTCATTTATCTACGAGTCATGAATGTTATTTCAAATTCTGCTTGTTAAAATTTGCAGTATACATAGTGTAATTCGGAAGTTTAACAACCTTTTACACAGACCCACAAAGTTTCATAGATTGTATACAAAGTATTTTTAAATTTAAATAATATACATAAATGGTTATGATCGTGTGCTAAACTTAAGAAAATGTTATCTCTAATAACTTTTCAATAAAAGTGAATTTTATCAATTTATATAAACTTGGAGAGACGTACTTGTAAAATTAGATTATGACATGTAGAGTACAATAGTGGAAAAAGGGTAATTTACAAATTATAGTGAAGTTAATTACTAATTCATTCATGTTAATTTCACGATATTAAAACCAAACAAATTCAGCATTTTTGCAAGTATAAACATACATAATTAGGCATGCAATATGCAGTTTGAGCAGTAATATTATCCAGAGAATATATGTAGTAAGCAAGCAAAGTTTGTTAGATTTAGTTGGAGGGTCGAGTTTCATATTAAAAAATCTGTGTGGGGTTTTTGTTTCATTAAATTTGTAAAAGAAAACCTAAGACCTAAATAGGAAGCCCGAAATGGTTGGTGGTGGTGGCTGCTAGTTGTTCTTACTTGCAAGCTGGACCGAGCTGTAATTGACTGCAACATCCCACTGCCTCATCAAATCAGTGGCCCTTAAACTCGGATCAATATCTTATGTGAGTCCTTTGTCTTCGTGTCTCACGACATACCCTTAATTACCTACTTGTGTGTGTATATATATATATATATATATAAGTCTTTTCTTCTTCTATTTCTTTAAACAAAACTTAAGTTAAATACTACATAGGATAGATAAGACTTTATAAAAAAATAATATAAAATTAATAAAATTTCTCTCAAATTAAAATTAATTCATATTTTTTTATTTTTTAGAAGTTAATTATCTTCATCTTAACTTCTCTCAAACTTAAAAAGATAAAATATTTTTAATTTATAAAAAGATTATTTATTTTTTGTATTACTTTTGGTTTTTATAAAAACTTTATCCATAAGTTCACTAAATAGGATCTATGTATTTTTAGTATTGTTCTTTAATTAAAATTTCATATTTTTCATCTTTGAAGGTTATAAATTTTATTTTAAAAATTCATAATAATGATAAACATAATTTAAAAAAAAATAAAATTCTAATTTTAATTAATAAACAACACAAACAATACTTAAAAAAAAAAAGAAAAAAACATAAATATTTTGTTGCTTTCACCTCCAACCCTCTATCCTCGTATGCTTTAATGGCAATTGCTAGAAAACCGTCACCGCTCTAGGGAATTCTTGCCATCCAAAAATGTGTTCGTACATTAAATTAAAATTAAAGAACATGTAACTTTTAAAATTTTGAATAGTCAAATTACAACTGCATGACCCTAGAACTACAAGTGATCGCTTCCTTTTCCTGGTGTTTTAAATTTATTGATATTTTTAAAAAATATTTATTTAACATTCATTTTAGTTAATAGATCTTAAATATTTATTGCAAGAAACAACGATTAATAAAATAGTACATAATTTTTATTTTTATTTAATTTTCTTGAAAAGGTACAGTAACAAGAAGAAGTGAGAAAGGGTAGGTTTAAATTTTGAGGAAGATAAGTGTAACTCTTTTGGGCCTATTATTTATAGAGTAATAATATTAAGATATCACTTTTTTAACCATAATTCCTATAATTTAGGAACGGGGAGAGTTAAGAAAATAACAGAGAGGAATGTGAGATAAAAATGAATGATGTGATGAATAAATAAAAATAAACTGTAAAAAGTGTTATAAAAATTTGTTTTAAGTATTACATTAATCTTATTTTAAGATTATTTTAGCAATTATTCTTAAAATTATATTAAAAATAGAAAAACGTCGAGTTTGTACATTACTTTTGTATAAAAAACTATAAATAAAATAGTATTTTACAATATATATATACAAAGAGAAGAAATAGTACTAACGGCAGAAAATCGCAGATTTTTCTTAATTATTTGTTGATATTATAAATATAATATAATATAAAATGAAAATTCGTAAGATGGACCCCAAGTTGAGTGAGTGGCTGAGTCAAATTCAGAACTTGGATATTGAAATAATTATATAATATGGGAGCCCATAGAAGAGAAGAACACAATAAACAAGCTAAAGTATTGGATCACTTTAAAATATATTATTAATAAACGAATAAAGAAAATGAATGTGATAATTATATAGCATCTTCCAGAGAATGAAATAAAGCAACTCGTAATGTATGAGTTAAGTAATCCAGGATCGCTCTGTGGCACAATTTTTCTCCTAGTTTTGAATTTTACTAAGACTTTCTCCACTGTATCATAATTACATAGAAACACATGTCAGTTTATGATTGATAAACAAATGAAATAAAGAACAATGGTAGGGATATAGAGAAGAGGGACAAATACGGATCACAGAAATGAAATAAAATCCATTAGGCTTCAATTAACCGAACCATACCACACCGTCCATATTCTAAAAACGGGTGGCAATAGATTAGGGGAAATTTAATTGGGTAATGGGCATGATAATGTATTTAGGATGTGAAACAGAGCAAGACTCACCCTGTTTTAGCTAAAGAAAGAATCATAAGATTCACCCACTCAACCAGAGAAAAACGCGTCCCCATTCCCTTCCATTGTTCCTTTCCGATTCAATTTCTCTATATAAATACAACCCCCAACCTCACTCTCCACCTTACCCAATACACTTGGAAAAAGTTTAGAAAAAAAAATGACTCTGTCTTCATCTGTTCCACTCTGCATGCTTCTCTTCTCATTCATTTTCTTCTTCACTTGCTCCTCTACCAAACTTAATCATGATAGTAAAAACGACTCTCTTTCCCTCTCTTTCCCTCTAACGTTCTTTCCACTCACCAGAGAGAAACCACTTAAGAACAACCCTCAACAGAGAACCCTTTCTTCCTCTTCTTCGTCATCATCATCGTACAACGTGAAATCTTCATTCAAGTACTCCATGGCTCTGGTTGTTACGCTTCCGATAGGTACTCCACCGCAGCTTCAACAAATGGTGTTGGACACGGGAAGCCAACTCTCATGGATTCAGTGTCACAACAAGAAAACACCTCCTAAGACGGCGTTTAATCCTTCTCTCTCTTCTTCTTTCTATGTCCTCCCTTGCACCCACCCTCTTTGCAAACCACGCGTTCCCGATTTTACCCTTCCCACAACCTGCGACCAGAACCGCCTCTGCCACTACTCCTACTTCTACGCCGACGGCACTTACGCCGAGGGCAATCTCGTCCGGGAAAAACTCACTTTCTCCTCTTCCCAAACTACCCCTCCACTTATCCTCGGCTGCGCTACTGAATCCAGCGACGCCAGGGGCATTTTGGGAATGAACCTCGGTCGCTTGTCTTTCCCCTCTCAAGCCAAAATTACCAAATTCTCCTATTGTGTCCCCGCCCGTCAAACCCGACCCGGAACTATCCCAACTGGGTCGTTCTACCTCGGAAACAACCCGGCTTCGTCACGGTTCCGTTACGTTAACATGTTGACCTTTGGTCAAAGTCATCGTATGCCGAATTTGGACCCCTTAGCCTACACTCTCCCAATGCAAGGAATTAAAATCAACGGCAAAAGACTGAACATCCAGCCTTCGGTTTTCAGGCCCAACGCTGGCGGGTCGGGCCAGACCATGATTGATTCCGGATCCGAATTCACGTTTTTGGTGGACGAGGCTTACGGTAAAGTGCGGGAGGAAATAGAGAGAGTGGTGGGACCCAAATTGAAGAAGGGGTACGTGTACGGTGGAGTTTCTGACATGTGTTTTGATGGTGATGCGATGGAGATCGGACGGTTGGTAGGGGACGTAGTTTTCGAGTTCGAGAAGGGCGTGGAGATTGTGATTCGGAAAGAGAGGGTGCTTGCAGACGTGGGCGGTGGGGTCCACTGCGTGGGAATCGGAAGGTCAGAAAGATTGGGTGCGGCGAGTAACATTATTGGCAACTTCCATCAGCAGAATCTCTGGGTGGAGTTTGATCTGGCCAATCGTAGAGTGGGATTCGGTGAGGCTGATTGTAGCAGATCCATAAACTAAGTAAACAGTATCACACGACGGGATACCGATCGTGTGCGTGGCGGTGCATGTCGTTATCATGCGTAGGCTCACTCGTTTTTAAAATTTTAAAGCTTATTAGGGAGCGGTCTTCGAGGAGAAGAAAGAGGTCTTCCGTGGTGTGTAGGCGTAAACGTCAACGTTTTGGACGGATGCAAGATGTGGGGCTTCGCTTCGTAGCTCTTTCAAAAGAACGATGCGTCAAAGCTCATAATCAAATCGTGTACATTAATCTGAATGAGACTGATGTATATATCTCCATTACAGGGTTCCAATCAATAATGTTGTGTCTATAATTTCTGTTTGTAATTAGATAAGCTTCAAGGAGATACAAAATAAGGTGAAGTGCTGTCCACTAATTTAAATATAAATTTGTTTGAACCCACTTAATTTTATTTTCAACCCATGTCATGTCATTAAAGATCATTAATTTTTATGATAATTAATTTAAAGTTTATTTATATCCATCAGTTGAATCAGTCGATAAATTAATATGTATTTATGCTAATTATTTTGGAAATGTTTGCTCAAAACGAACAGAAGAATTGATAAGTAGAGATGGGTTATTTTCAGATTAACTTGCATGTGTTTGACAATTGTTGCCCCCACCTAAATGATAAAAAGGTTGATCCATTGTATTGTAACTTGGTACTATTTATGAGTGCTAGAAACAGGGCACCCAAGTTGGAGTTCATGAAGTATCTTTATCAATACAGTTACCGATCCAAGTTGTAGAGAGTAGTAGTGTTGAAGTGGAAATATGGATATGATTTAATAAGATACCAACTGATTAATGAGGCCACACACCTTTTCTTAACAGAATGGACATTTTAACAAAGCTTCACCACAACGCCCTCGTGGTGAAAGAGACACAGCATTCATAAAACAAGGATAATAAATATCTAAATTATCTTATAAAATAAGCAACCTCAAATTAAATCTAACAAAAAATTTACTTGTAAAAAAATAACGCAATTTTTAATATAATAATTTATCTTAATTAATTTACTTAAAATAAAATTATTTATCTCGTTTTTTAAAAAAAGGGGAAAAGACATAGGCTTGTAAGTGCAAAAGGGAACAAAGTCAGAAGCAGCGGCTGAGGTAGTTGCGGTCGTGGCAAAGGATTTTACGAGGAAAAAGAAGTGGGGTCCACACATAGGGACAGCTCAGCTGGTTGAGACCGCCAAAGACACGAAATGCTTCCACATAGTTCCCGACACTAACATCGTTCACATGATTATGAAAAACGTGTGTTGTTTAGTTAAGGATAAAATCTAGCTTTTACCCTTTTTCTCTTTAACCTTGGTGTACGTGGCTTTTCTATACGCCTCCATTGTTTCACAATTATTTTCCCCTCCTAAATTACTTTACCTTCAATCAAAGAATAGTTTTCAGTTCCAAATCTTGCCATCCAAGGGATAAAGCTCTCTCTTTTGGTTCGATTATATGTTACACAATTCAAAGTGTTAACATAAAGTAAAATTATCTTCAAATATCTCCGCACATCTTACCTTTACAAAGAGTTTTATAAACTTCTTTATGCACCCATTAATTTAATTCTTTCTTTCTCTTAGATCTCTTCATTACATCTCAATACTCTTTTATAAAGCATTGTTGATAAAGCTACACATGTAGTAACCACAAAACCATGGTGAGGAAGTTGTAAAAGGAAGGACAATAGGGAATGAATAATAATGGAAAATTAATAGCAGTTAAAAGGAGTGATCACTCCTCGTGAACTTTTTTGGCTTTGCCTTGTATGTGATGCATGATATGATAAATACTTTTTATTCAGTGTGCGATAGTGAAATTACTTTATAACTAACAAAGAGAAAGACAGTCTTTGCAACTGGCTCGTGTCCCTTGCTTTGGGTCAAATCTGTGAAGTTTTAATGCATAAAATATTTATGAATCATCATAATAATTATTTTCGTTGGCCAACTATAGAAAATTAATTTCTTAATTTCAGGATTTTTTATTTTTAAAAATATAATTTTCTGAAAATACTTTTTGAATTCAAAGACTCTCTTATCTTTAATTGAAACATCGTTCCTTTATTACAAAAATTTTCATATTACAAATTAGATTTAAGAGACATATTTGAATTATGTTGTAGAGATCTATTCTTTAAAGGTTTGCAGAAAAAAGGAAAAAAAACTATTTTATTGTGTTTTTAAGTGTCATTTAAAGTAACAATACACAAGTTAAAATATATATATATATATATATATATACATTTTTTTATAATAATTCATTACCCGAATTTATTATAAGCACGTAAAACAATTAATGATTAAGTGAAGGTTTATTGTTGAAATGAATAATTAATATTATCATAATTTTTAAAATAACAGATAAATAAGAATAACTTTTATATGAACATCAACTAAAATGAGATTGAAGTTGTATTATGTTATCCTTTTTGAAATTACAAATTAAATAATAAAAATGATTATAACAAAAAAAGTTATAATATTTAATAAATAAAATTAATTATTCTTAGTTTTAGAAATTAAGTAATATTGGATGTTTGAAAATTTTTATGTGAAACATATGAAAGTGTTTTATAATAAATTCTGATAATTTTTTAAATTTATTTTAATATTTTTCTTAGTATAATTATCAAAATATTATTTTTTAACTTATTGCAAGAAATTTTATGGTCAATTTTTTACGTAAGTCTTTGTATATATGGTAAGATTTTATTTTATAAATATTTTTTATATTCTAAAAGTACCTTATATGTATATATTTTTAACGCTATACCAAAATGAAGCATCTCGTAATAATTTTGTTTATAGATGTCACGTTTTTTTTCTCAAGTTGAAAAACAATTCAAATAATAATAACAATAATAAAAGGTGTCTGTAACCAGAAAATAAAAAATTTGGGACATATTTGAGAAGCAAAGGTAGGAACAGAGCCACTTGGACATAGGTTTCATTAAATAGCAGGTCCAAACGTACACACGCACTGAGTGGCCATAAATGAGTTGAGAAGTACATTAAATATTTTCTTGGTTTTAGGCTTTTATCTAGTAATTTTATGTTTTATCTTTTTGGTTGTATGTATATAACTATATAATACAAGTCCATGTGCATATTATATATATATATATATATATAACTAAATAAATATTTGTCTATGATTATATAAATATAAAACTAGAGTTTGCTTTGTAACAAATATTTTTGGGAGAATATTTAATTTTTAAAACATTCTTTCATAAAATTTATTTTTTTTCCAAAATTAATTTATCTAAAGTTTTGTTGGAGCAACAAATGCCTGGATTCTTGGCTTTTCTCTTTAATTTGGCTTTCATTATTGGAGTTTTGTTAACATTTATTAAAAATTATAAAATTAGTTAATTCTATAAAAAAATACTAAATAATAAAATGTTTAAACTTCTTAAATCTAAATGTTTTTATTTTCACTATCAAGTACATAAATCAATTCATGTGAAATTGTTAATATAACTAGTTAACATAACTAATATTTTTGAGTTCTCAAGAATGTAATTATATTAAATATATTTTTAAAATATTACTTAAAGTTAAGTAAAATTATCTTTAATACAAATAATTTAAAAAATTATACTTTTTTTTTATTTGCATGTAACTACTTTCATTTTTAATAATTTATAACAGAAAAATAATATTATCATTACTAAAAAAAATTTTGCCCTAATAAGAGGTTAGGACATGGAACAATTCAAATGAGGGAGAAAAAAAAACAAAGAAAAAGGATAGGGAGAAGGTTACATCACAAATCACAGTGACATTAAAGGAGGCAACCCTGTGGTCACAGAGTGTGGAGCAGATGTCATGTTGAGGTTGAAGGGCATTCCAGAGAAGGATAAACTTTCCAACATCTAAAGGTGCTGTCTTCATTGAAGGAATGAAGAGCGGGGTAGGGTGTGGGTGATCCAAGTTCTAAATTCAATAAGGTACCTAATCACTTTTCAAACTTCACTATGTTAATAAAGCATGACAGAGAAAGTAAAAAAAAAAACAGTAATTTTTATTTAGCGGTTGTTCAGAAGAGATTTTTTGAAAACTATTATTGGAATGGTCCCAAAGACTCCAAACTAGGACTCGTGTCCGTAACACTGTAGCAGCTTAGGTTGCAATAAATTTCATATGAAATCATATGGCTGCTAGAGTCATGATTTTCATACAAATTTTCTTCTGTTAAAAATAAAATCTAGATATGACAAGAGGACTAGATTAAAATGCTTGCAAAATGAAAGAAATTTGACTTCGACTCAACTTCATCCCCTAAACTTGGTGTGACTTTAGCTGCATGTATCTACTGAAATTTAATTACTTGCAATGAATGTCTGTTGATTCAAATAATATTAAAAAAATCACTTCACTTTAAAAATTTGGATTCCAAGTCTTGTGAATACAAAAAGAAATAGAAAAAATTGTTCTTTAGATATATCAATTTAACTTGACTCAAATTAGTTAGGATTGAATATATTTATGAGTTAGAAATACCAATATAGTTCAGGAAAAAATATCCCAAAGGCCCAACGAGACTCTGGGAAATATATACATGTTTCACTTAAGAACATCTCAAGCCCACAACACTCTCAAATGTTGCATAGATACGGGCTGGGTTTGAGTACTGTATCTACACAAAACTACGACGGCCATAGTTAAAAATTAAATGAAATTTTGAAATAGCATTCAAATATGTTAATACAAGTGTGTGTGTAATGTCAGTTAAAAATCAGCAAATTATTATCATTAATCATTTCTCCCTTCAAATTCCCTCCTTCCCACTAGAAATTCCCCTATGAATATTGATCACTTGCTTTGCATATGTATGTTAACTATGAATGTAAGAACTGCTGAAATGGCACCCACCACCAAAACCGAGCCTTCTGAGAAAATGTAGTTTGGAAAATATCACAGGCTTTGATTAGGGGGAACATTCCTCCATAGAAGTATCATCCATATAGCAAAAACATGTTTCTTTCTTCTACAAATCCATCAGGGCACTTTCTTTAAGAATAAACTTGGGCATCCATAGCAGGTTGTTAGGAAGCCATTTTAGATGCAACTGAATCATCTTAGGTAGCTCTCGGTTAGCTAGTCACGCTAACCGTTAGAAGCAACTTTAGCTTCTGGTATTGACAATGGCAGCCCAGTTGCCTCATTTACAAGGGATCACTGAAGCAGACAAAAGAACCTCAATTGCCATTAATTGTATCCACCATACACAAAGTGAAGAGCGAAGCAATCCCAATCTCCAATAACTCTGGTGTTGTTGCAAACAATGAAGCTTCAAGCTTTTTAGGGTGGCATGGGTTTTTACATCAAAACATATTTTCAGATAGATTTCCAGCAATCCACCAAGGCAATCGTCAATTTTGTTATGAAATTTTTAATGTACTCTATAGGCCAACCTTGGCTAAATACTGATCCAGAGAGAATAGTTAGTAACTTTTGATTAACTCTGAAACCGTTCTATTTGTAAGCCAGGTCTGACAATTGTGACAGCTCGGCAAAAAAGGGCATTCAGTAGCCAATCATCTCTTTAGGCGATCTTTTGAAATTTTACTTGATTCATTAACAAGTGCTGTATATGAAGCATAGTCTGTAACAAGTCCTTTCTCAGAATTAAATATGTTAAAATCAACAGTGCTTCCATGCTTGCAATGGCCGTCCAGTAAAATGTTAAATGTAATATCATTTGGAGCCACACCCAAATTAAGCATTGCATCTAACAGCATTTTAGCATTTTTCATCTGACCTTGTTTGCACAGTCCATTCATTAGCGCATTATATGTCACAACTCTTGGTACATGTCCATCACTTTGCATCTCCTTGAGCAACTTGAATCCCATTTTAACATCACCCTTCTTACAAAAGCAATCAATAACCATGGTATATGTTGGATCATCAGGTTTGAAACCAGCATTCAACATATCTCTCAACATTCTTTCAGCGTCATGAACCCTTCCATCTCTACAAAGCCCAGAGAGAAGAGCAGTGAAAGCTACATCATCAAGTTCAATCCCCTCTTCAACCATTCTCCTCTTGATCTCCAACGCCGATTCCAAATCTCCATCCTTGCAACATCCATCTATTAGTGTAGTGAAAGTGAATTTATCAGGCTTCAAACCACTTGCACCCATCTCATTCACAAGCTTCCTAGCTTCCTTCAAATCCCCAACCTTGCAAAGGCCGTTGATCAGTGCATTATACGTAACCAAGTCAGGTCTAATGCCCTCAGCAAGCATCATCTGAAAATTTTTCAAGGCCAAATCAACTTTCCCATCCTTGCACTGCCCATCAATCAAAGTGGTGAAAGTAACACCATTGGGGGCCAAGCCTCTCCTGCACATTTCATCAAACAAAAGGCTCGCCTCATCCAACCTACTCTCCTTACACAACCCATTGATCAAAGCACTGAAAGTGAAAACGTCAGGACAAATCCTCTCACTCTCCATAATACTCTTCAACGTGAAACCCTCCTCCACATTCCCCGATTTACAGTACCCACTGATCAAAGTGTTGAAACTAACAACCGTAGGACGCAAACCCCTCTTGGGAATTTCATCAAACACCAACCGCGCATTCCTAACATCACCACCTTTACAAAACCCGTGCATCAAAACATTAAAAAAATAAATTTTTGGAGGATATCCACAATCCAAAACCTCCAAATAAAAGTCCCAAGAAGGTCCAACCGGTTTCAACTTCATCACGTGATGAAGCAAATGCCCACAAGCCCTAAACGGTAGAGAGAAGTTCTTCTTCCTAACCAACCTGAAACACTGGATAGCATCAGACAAAAAGCCAGAATCAACGTAAGCACAGATCAAAGCATCAAACACGAGAAAGGAATGATGAGGTGGGGGCATGGATTGGAGAATTGAAGAGAACAGAGAAGAAGCAGAGCCGGTCCCTTTTCTGGAAATAACGAAACAGAGGAGAGAATGTGCTTGTGGAAGCAAACGGTGGAAACAGAGGAAGTGAACCATAGTGCAGTAGGAATGAAGAGTGTGGCGAAAGGGAGGACGAGAAGCGAGCCAGTTGAAGAAGGAGAGGAGAGAGAGAGGAGAGAGAGAAAGGGGGTTGAGGTTGATGAGGTTGGTAACATGGCGGGCTGTGAGGGAAGGGAGAATGCGTCTGAGAGTGGGGTTGAGAGAGTAATCTTCAAGATGTTTGGTTTCGGAATTGTTGATGGCTTCGGAGATTGCACAGAGAAGGTCATGGTCTTTGAAGGGATAAGGTGACCGTGGGGAATGTGGAAGATTGGTGCAACCAGAACGGTGAGGGTTAGAAGAGAAGAAGCGAAGGGAGTGAAGGTGATGGGTTCTTGTTTTGCAGAGTTTCGCTTTCAGCTTCACGGCCATGGCCATGGCCAGCTCTGTCTCTTACTCTCACTTGTCTACGTTGTTTCCTAAGGTCTAAATAATGCTTTATTAGGAGCAGTTTTGTCGTTTAATTTTAAATGCTTAATAGTAATAATTATCTATTAAAAAATATTTATAATTTTTACTAAATAATTTTTTATTTGTTTAAAATTATTAATGTTAGAAATTTTTATATAATTAACTTGACTTTTTTGGTAATGAGGAATAAAAACAATTATATAAAAACAGTGTATTTGAATGCCTAAGTAATGACGTAAATTATTTTAAAAATTTATTAAAAAACAAAATGAATAAAAAAAATTAATTTTTTAAATAAATATATGATTAATTTTTTATTGATTGAGAAATACAAAAAGGAAAAAAAAAGTAAAATAAAATGAATATTTAGTTAAAATTTGTGTGAACAAATAATATAATTCATCACAAACCTAATAGTAATTAATAAGTGTATAGTGTAGTCGATCTTTTCATAAGTTGCTGTCACTCTTGTTCTTGAAGTAATATTATATAGTTATTAAAAATATATTTTATCATCTAAAGTGTATATCATATCATTCCCACTTCAAAAAGTTAACTTTTGTCTGTTTTAGTCAACTTAGATAATTAAACTGCAAGACATAAATTGTTAATAAATAAGTTTGATCTCTCACAATAGGTTGCCTTTTTTTATTCTTTTATTTACAAAATTAAAGTGTAAACTTAGGTGTTTTTGATGTTATGTTTTAATTACAATTATAAATTTATTTTGTTGATTTACACAATAAAAAATGATATAAAAGTAATAAATATTGCTCATCAAAGTAAAATATTAATAGAAAACAATATTAAAAATATTTAGAGTACTACACTCGATGGCTTGCCTTTGTGGTAGCGAGTCCGGAAGCGATTGGCGGAAGTTTGAAGAGGAAAGGAAAAGAGAAAATAATTAATATAATTTTGTTAAAAATTATCCAAAAATACACGTGATTATGAAAGTTTTCAAATGCTTATAAATTTTGTGAAAGTTTTATAATTTATTTAAATTTTTCATTTTTCATTTAATAATTCTATAATCATTACATAAATCATTTTTTTATCTCTCACTTTTTGTGAAAAATCAACTTCCAAACAAAATATAAGAAAATTAAGTTAAGATGAAATTGGTGGAAGGGAGAGTCTTCACGTAATGATGACGTTGTAGTCTTATTACCCAAATCTTATCCAAAACTGCGAAATTAAATTGTAAATGAACAACGACACTTTCCCACGCAATGTCATGACTCTTTATTCTCCTACGTACAAAACCTTTTCTCTTTCACTTAAATTGTACAACGACACAAAAATGAATAAAGAATTTTTTTAAAACCTGAATAACTTTGCATCTTTAAAATTAAACCAACCATAACAGGAGGAAAAAAATATTAATTAATTAATTAATTTAAATCGATCTAACATTTTTTACACTGAATATATATATAAATATAAATAAGAATCTTAGCACAAACCAAATAGACTACAGAAAATATTGTTGAAATTATATATTTTTTGACGATATACCTATGTTCATGCATGTATAAATAATAGAAAGAAAGGAGAAACGCACCATGCATGATATAAATCTATCAATTTCCATTATAAAACAAATAATTGGTAATAATACCAAAATCATTAGAAATATAGGAACCGATTGTACACCTATGTACACCATCATAACAAATTTGAGTTATTATTTTTCATGCTGCATATTATTAATTAGCCTTTTAGCTAATCATGTATATGCTCTATCAGATACATACAAACAATATCTGAATTCATTTTTAAATTATACCCCCCCTACTTCTATAATCATTTTAATTTCAGAGATATTTCATAAACAAAAACAGCTTTTTATTTCTTTTCTTTTCTTTTTTGAAACAAAACTTGATCTACCAATAACTAATTTGTATATCAACAAGAAAATCTACAACGACAACTAGTAATAAAAGTATAAGCAATTGAAACATGTCAAAACTAATACCAAGCATTAGAAAATGATCACAAGTCACCATTAGCCATTGGTAAACACTTAACCAAATCAACCACAGGTACTTGCTTTGCCGGTACTTGAGAACCATTCCTCAAAGCTCTTGGATTAACCACATCTTCCTCTCTTCCGCATACAACCCCATGCCTTAGCCAAAACCCTTTTCTAATCTTCTTCTTCTTCACCCTTCCACCACCAATATCAAAACTTACATTTGTAGAGTTGTCAACACCTTTAGAAGACTCTATAAGGCTATTCAAATGCCTTGAAATGCTTTGTACTTCGTATGCATCAAGAAGAGATAGTTTATTGGAGTGAATTGAGGACCCTTCTTTTGATTCCTTGTCCATTCTCATAGCTTCTAACTTGTAACGCGAAGGCCCAGGTGCATGGTGAGTTATTGTAGCATCAAACTCACCCGTATTTTTCCCCTTAGAATCAGAACCATGTTGGTGCCATGCCCATGCAGCAGCCTTAACAATGGCTAATTCATCGTTGTTGGGTTTAGGAGGGTTTGATCTCTCCATGAGAGAGTTGAGAAACGATAGTTTAGAAGCGATGAGAATTATGAGAGATGAATGTGGTGTGAGAATGTGTGGGAAAATTAAGTTCCACGCAATGCAATAAGACAAGTAGGTATGTGTTCTTTTGTGTGTCAAGAAAGGTGTACGTGACTTTCTTTCAGTGTAGTGGGCTGGGTTAGGATGAGAGCAGAATTTAATAGGATCATTTAATTTGGATCTGTACATTGGGCCCACAATGGAGCCCACCTATGAGAATTCGTTTGCTTCTTCAAATTAATTAATTGTTCCGACTTGTCTACAGCACAAGATGCTTTTATTCTTAATACTGATAATGAAATACTATTCTAGGGAGTGATTGATAATACATTATCAAAAATTATATTTAATAATTTTTATAAGAATATTATAAGATCTATTGATAATATTAAATATTATATTTTTTAATAAAAAATATATATTATTTATCCTTAGACATATATTAAAAGACTTAATTAAATATTTTTCCATTATAAAAATTGTATAATTTGAACTTAATTTTAATAAAAAATTATGAAAATATAATATCTACTTTTCATATTTTATTTTTAAACTTTTTAATTAACGTGAGATATTATTAAACATTATCTTTTAATTAAACCACCTAAAGGAATTAAAATAAAGTATGAAAAAAAAAAAAAACTTTCATAGGATTAAATATTTAATTAAGTGTATAACAAAATCAGTATTTTGTATAGATAGGTGGCAACTTCTTGTTAGACTTTTGAGAGGGGTGAGCAATCACTTAACTCGAGATCTTAGCAATTGATCAGGGTGTATCGAGTTAATTACTAGAATTAAAGAAAATCTTAACTAAATTCCTTTTCCACCAATCCAAACCGTCACCATTTTACTGTAATAAATCAAGCCTTAATAGTTAGCCAGAAGGGTTACGCACTAAATCCCCTTTTTTTCTCAACACCACTACCCAAACAATTGAGCTTTATTGCCAGTGAGTCTAGTAGAGCAGGGGTGATCCAAGTAGCTTGAATGGTGGCAATTCGGGTAGCAGTATTAGAAAGAGAGCGAGAATGGAGGGGAAATGGTTGTCACTGGCTGTTACCACTGTTCTATTGCTGTCGTTGCGGTACTACGTTGTAAGCAATTTATGAAATAAAATCGGATAACATGTTTTAGTATCTTTTCCTTTATTATAAACAACTGCTCCTCTATTTTCAATGCTATCTTTACTATCACGTAAAAATTAATTCAAACTTCTTTAAAATAGAGAGGAATGTGATTTTCCCTTTATTAAAAAAAGGGTGTAGAGTGAAGAGTACCAACTAGTTATTTGGCGTATGGAAGAGCCATTACCAACCCATAAGCCATGTAGAATTATGAAAAACTTGATCGATCAAATGGAAATCCTAACAAGTCCGAAATATGTTCGAACCAAACAACAACATTGATGGACATTACGTAACACAAGGAAATGAAGCACAATACTCGGTAGCCAGTGCCACCAATAAACAAGTCCTTAAAATTAAACATCACGAGCCAGCCAAAACAAGAGTGCAAAAAAACCATTGAAAAACAAATTGAACATCAACAATGATCTATGGAAGACACATGATTGTTTGTTTTTTGAGGGTGTTTATCATTTCCATAGAATAGTTGTCTCTGCAATCATGGAAGTAACCACGTATGGATCCATGTTAGACGCAGGCCTTCTGTCCTCAAAATATCCCTTCCCTGCCTTCTCCGTGTCCCTCCCTACCCTAATAGAGGCACCACGGTTTGCAACACCCTATATACACATTCAATGTATTACTAATTAAGCAAATAGTTAATTAATGGTTAATGTATATAAACATATCACATATTACATTAAAAGATTTTTTATTATTTTTTTAATTAATATTCTAAAGATATTAGATAATAATAAGACGTTATGAACTATCTTTGATTTTAATGTCATTTTCTTGCTTACCCATTTAAAGGTATTAATGTCAGCAGTCTCGTGTCGTCCTGTTAAACGACGTTCATTGCCTTCTCCATAAGCATGGATGTGCTCCTTGTGCCTCTTCTCCAACTTGGCAATTGCTTTCTTGATGACTTCATAGCCTCCATTGTTTCTCATTGACTTGGTACTGGAACATTATCATCCACTTATTATTAAGCACCAAAAAATGACATTATGTTAATTATTATTAACCCATAATCATTAACCATGATAATTACCTGTAATTCGTGTGAGCACCAGCACCATTCCAATCACCCTATTAATAACAAATCAACAAGTTCAATAACAAATGTCTAGAAGAAAAACTATATATATTGAAATCGGATGAGTATGGGATAATCAACCTGAATTGGTTTAGGGTCAAAGGAAAGCACCACCCCAGCAATCTCAGTAATCCTCTATTAACACATTTAAGAAGATTTTAGTTTCAGATTTATATTTTTAAAATTAAAAAAAAAATTGAGTAGTCAAGTCTTTCCTACCTCTAGAATGTAACGAGCAACCCATATCTCGTCACCAGCAGATATGCCAACAGCTGGACCAACTTGGAATTCCCACTACACATCATAAAGGATTAAATTAAAAGGAGTTACAATTGAAAAACAATAACATATTAAAAGAAAAGAAATATAAGGGTAAAGAATGATGAATATGAAAACTATAACATGCATTTCAAGAAGAGTATTAGAAAGATAGGTTTTACTTACTCTTTTTAACATATTTTTTTACTTAATTAAACTTTATTAAAATATGATAAAAATATTAAATTAAAAGTAAAAAAGTAAAATTTATATAATTTTTCGTAAAGTCTAATTAATACTTGAAACATATGTTAAAAAAATTGTATTACTGACATTCATGTTTCAATTTACCTGACCAGGCATCACTTCTCCATTAATTCCACTGATGTTAATGCCGGCATAAAGACAGGCTTTGTAATGGGAGTCCACAATATCACGCCCAAAAGCTTTGTTAGCACCAATGCCGCAATAGTATGGTCCCTGTTGAGCAAGCAAAAAGAAAAAATAGAATACATCTACACAATAAGCCAAATTGATTCGAAAAGCTTATCATCTGTTCACCTTTGAAAAATCACAAATATCCTAAAAATAATTTTGTTTCACTGGGATAGATTATTATAAACAATAAAATTCTTTAACGTCTATTGTTATATTACTTTGGTCTACAACAGTTTGCATTTATCATTTAAGAGACAATTGGTTAACTATAAAATTCAAAATAAAAAAAAAACAAAATAGATCCTAAGGTATACAAATTAAAACTTTAAAGAATAAGATTTAAGTTTTTAAAAAATTTAAAATCACAATATAAAATGTAAGTGAACAGGATTATTAAACGAATGCTATAAGCAAACGAATTTTACACAAGGATGATTTACATTAAACGCAAAAACTTTTCATTTTGAAGACTTCAAACATGGGTGAAGAAAAAAAAATTCACCTGCGGTCCAGGAAAACCACCAATAGGCCATCCAATAGGCCATTGTACATCTTTTTGCAGCAAGGTGTATTCTTGCTCGATACCAAACCTATTTGGAGATCATTAAGTAATGTTTAATCAAGGAAAATATAAACAAAAATTTCATGGCAAAAGGTCATTAGAAACTGCAAGGAATCAACATAAGATACAAACCATGTTTCTTCAGCAACAACATCAGGATGGCTGAATATCTTTGCAGCGTTATGTCTCTTGTTTGTCGGAATGGGCTCCCCAGCAGGAGTGTAAGTGTCACACATAACCTACAACCAATTATAATTGAAAAGCATGAAATGATTACACCATGGAAACAAGTTTAACTTAAGAAAGATGTACCTAATAAAAATACGATTTTTCTAACTCATGCAGCATTTAATGCTACAATTTTTAACAATATGTAATATTGCACATATTTAAAAAATTAATAAAATTAACATAGTAAATAAGTAAGAACACACCAAGATGTTGTTGCCCCTCCTGAATGGATCCTTGAAAATTGCTTGTGGACTGTTGTATTGGATTAAGATACACAACATTAGTAAGAAAAGTGTGGAAATGAACCAATCCTTAATATGTAAAGGCAAAAATTTAGAAGAAAATAAAACAAGATTTAGAAGTATATACTTGGGAGAAATGATCAAACGGGATTACAAAAAGAGGCTTCTTGTACTCGGGAAAAAAAAAATAGGCTTACTATAAGATGACTTCACTATCTTCTCCAGGAGCTTGACCAGTGCTTGAACCATCGTAGTTCCACTTAGGAAGCTTGGAAGGGTCATTAACCGGTCCTGAGAGAGTCTATATCCAAATTCATTTTGTATTTGCATCAGTTACCAGTCAAACAAAGTTAAAATTAATCAATATTTTCCCGTCCTTTTGTAGGAATTGTAAATAATTTCTTAAAACATGTAAACCATAAATAAGTCCTACAGTTTGAAGTAAAAAAAAAAAAAGGTTATATAGCGACCTAAAAGAAATTGGCTGAGGTACGCAGTTGAAAAAGCTTCTTCAAACTGTACTAATTGTTAAATAATTTTTAAACTGTTGTTTAAAAATCCAAAAGAAAAGTAATTTTCTTTTATTGTTACTTTTTGTTACAAAATGATGAGGAAAATAAATTACCCTTGCTTTGCTCCTCATGTCAATACCGGATCCACCGACCCTATAACAATTAAAATAAAAGGAGGTAAGTGTTAACAAAGGGTGGGAAAAAATAAAAAAAGAGAACAATTTGAATAGGTAAAAAGTTAATTAAAAACCAAGCATGACCACGGAAGGACAGAGTCAAAACGGAGGAAACATTTAGAATTATGGCCAAACGAGCAGAACGAAACCAACATCAACATGGAAACAAACATTATAAAGTCTAAGAAGGAATGTTATGTAACACAGCAAAAACTAAAAAACGGGAAACAGAACAGAGTAACACAGGGACTAATAGAGAGCCGTGTGATGGATTAAAAGGAAGATGAACAAAGATAAATCACACCCATTAAAAGAATTATTTTATCACACGTAAATGCATGCACATAGGAACAAATAATTGCAATGCTCGTTTCTAAGTGCAGAGGAAACAGAGAACTTGAGTGTTTTTTTTTTTTTTTGTGGGGAGAAACGATGGAGAGAAACTAACCATATGTACTCGGCGATCACCTTCTCCGAGGTGTCGGAGAGGTTAAGATTGACTAGATCAGAGAGTAACGACATCTTGAGGAAAAAATTAAAAACTGAGCAGAGACTGTTCAGAGAGGCTGTTTCTCTGTCACTTCCTTTCTATTTCCACTTCTCGATACAAGGGTTGTGTGGATTTTATAGAGAGATCAACGACTTACACAGAAAAAAAAACAAACTTTTAAGAAGTTACCATAACATAAGATAATTTAAAATATTTAAAATGAATTAGCTCTTAAAAAGAGTACAAATCGGGATAGGATAATCTGTTTTATAAATCTTAAGTGTTTTGCTTTTTGGATATTATTTAAGTTTGCTAATCCAACTATGCATTTCCGTGTATAATTAAACCCAAAGGTCGTTCGTAGAAAACTTTTGAAATTTAAATATATGGATACATGATTTTGCCTTTTCAACTTCAGTAATTACGCTTTCTTTTTTTCCTTGCTCCCTCTGCTAAATATTCTAATTCACTGTTACATTATAAAAATTATTGTAAATGTCTAGATAAGTTATTATATATATTCTCGTGTGTCTAACGTATTGAATGAGAATATTTTCTTTATACGTGAAAATAAATTTTAATTATGATATTATCATGAATAATTAAAATTTGTTTAAAATGTTACATAATTTTTTATGTAATTATCTAAATTTAAAGAAATTATTATTAAATATTTATGTATAATTATACAATTAAAAAATGCTATTTTTATATGATTTTTTTAATATTAGACGTTAAACTTTAAATTTTACACTATTTAATAACTTTTTATAGAATAACATGTTAATTAATTGAATTGTTGGTTTGAAGGTTATCATCAATTAAATTAATTTTATAAATTTTATAAAAAAATTATTAAATACTTCATCAAATTATTTTATTTTAATGATAATATAATTTTAAAATATAAATAAATATTAAATTGTAAATAATATATTTATAAATATCTAAATTATATAAAAGTTAATATACATAACTAAGAAGATAATATAAGCTTAGTTGAGATAAAGTTTTAAAGAAGCCTTTCTAATATTAGCAAAAAAAATAAAAAATTTTAAAAATAAAAATAGAAACTTACAAATAATTCATGATTCTCTATTTTTGAGATACTTATAATTTTTAAAAAATTAAATAAATATTTTTTTAAAAAAAAGTGATTTTTAAATTATGATAAAAATTTATTATTTTTATACTTATTATTTTTTAAAAATTATAAAAATTTACTCAAATGATACCATAAATAAATAAATATATATATATATATATATATATATATATATATATATATATATATATATATATACATAGACCAATGTGGAGGGAAAGGTAGGAATCACGTGTGGTGTGTGTTGGAAAAAGGCATTTACAATTACATTGTTTCATATCTACACAAACCTCAAATCAAATTATGAGTCAATTTTCATTCTCCACTTTTCCTCTCAATTTTCAGTAGCACTTTGTTTACAAATCAACTTAAACGTAAAGACGCTCATAATCGAAGCCCTTGCTTGGCCCTATTTTGTTATCCAAATTTGAGGTTTCAAGTTTTGGAAAGGCTTGCATTTTCGCTATAGAATTCCTGATATTGTGGTTAGTTTGGTATATTATTTTGAACATGAGATTCAGAATTGTCATTTGTTGAAGCCTAACACCAACTACAATATTAGGTTAAGGGGCTCGAAAGTGGATTCAGATATTGTTGATATGTGCAAAATAAATAGCCAAAATGATAGAGATATCGAGATCTATTTCAAACACCCTATCATTCAGGATCCTATACTATTCCTAGACTCAAACGTACCATTGGATTACCAACTAAAGTCAGCAATAGAAAATCAGAAGAATAGCGATGTTCCAATTTGGTTAAACTTCCAGATAAATTGCAAGGGATAAAAAAAATAGCATAAAAAATATCTAACTTAAAAATTTTATTTATTTTTTATATTAATATAATTCTCTTAAAAAGACTTTTTTAAAAGTTTATTTAAACTAAATGAGTCTTCCATGCTCTTTTTTTTTTAATAATTGTTTGCTTTATAATCCTAATATGTTTGTGTTGCACTGAAAATGGAATTGAAGAAGTGGGTAAAATGATAGAGGATAATATATCCAATCCATTCACCAACAATGTTGTTTCCCACACCCTCCAATTTTTCAAACACTAAATTATTGTGCCAAATGTGCATACGACATGGCACATTTTAGCTACATTAATACCTCTCTATCATAATTAATTAATAATACAATATCAAAAGTGAAGTTTTAAATACTACGTGGATATTTTTTTTAAAGAAACTAAAGTAAATGATTCTTATTCTTTCAAGAACTAAATGGGTGAGTCGCTTTATTATATTTACAATGAATTATTAATAATATTTTATTACTCACAGAAAAATTATATGAAACTCACAAACACATTTCATTTTCAACATCACATACACGCAATTTTCGTATATAATATATATGTTCCTTGTACAAAATCTCATTTTTAATTAAATACGTTTATTAATGTCGTTTTTTTCTTTAATCCCAAAGGCCATTTTAAAAGAAAACTTGTAAAACATAATTTATGTGGCTACTCGATTGTGCCTTTTAAATTTCAGATATTTTGTTCCATCCAATAAACAAACTATTATCTTATACACCTCATTTACGCCTTATCATAAAGGATAACATTCATTTTTTAACATATTCTCTCTCTATTTTTTATTTTAATTAAATACTAATTTAACCTTTATTTTAAACAATTTTTATTTCGATTTCTGTATAAAAATATATATTATTTTTTATATAAAAATCTTTATAAATTAATCTTTATTAATATGAAAATTATAACAATATTAGTTTTTATTGAGTTAATTAAATTAAACTAAATATTTAATTTCACTGCTCGACATTATTGTTCTGTTTAGTCCCTACAAACAACATAATTGTCTAAACTTTAGTTTGGTCTTTATATGAAAAATAACATATTTTAATTTTTATATAAACGATAATTTAATAAAATATAATATCATTGTAATTTTGGCAAATGATAGAGATTAATTATGAATATATAGGTATCTTTATTATTGTTTGTACATATAAATCGTTGACTGAAAATGATATATAGGATAATAGTCAAGTAAATAAAAAATAAAATCTATACTTTGGTCTTTTAATATTATTTTTTATTTCAAATTATTAGTTAATTTTATATTATAATCTAATTTTTTTTATCAAATTGTTAGTTTAAATAACAATAAAAAATCACCATAATTAAAAAAGTAATATAAAAATATAAAAGACTAAAATAAAATTTAAAAACTAGTTCAAAGCAAAAATTAAACTTTTATATCTAAAATTATATATGACAGAAGATAATTAAATATTATCTAACAATACGCAGAGGCAGCGGAGTGTACCACTTTCAGTCATTGAATTATTTTTTCAGTTTTGTTAATATTTTTTATCATTTTCAATTTTTTATTTAAAATTAAATCTTATTTCTAATGATAAACTATTCCAAAAATAGGCTTCTCTCTTGAAGTGTTATTTGGTTGTCTTCGAGGGACAGGTTCTTTTGTTCTTTGGCTCATCTTTTAATTGTATAAAAAGAATTCATAATTTATTTTACTCTTTTAATTTATAATATATTGTTCTAAATTACAATAGAATATTGTTCAAATGACAAATAATAATTTAGATTAAAAATATTCGAAAAGATAAGAAAGTGAATGACTGCTTAACGTTCCATAACACCAAATCTTTAACACCCCTATTGCATTCTAATATGTTCCTGATAAAAAGAGGATATTATCCTTACGATATTTTTTTATAATATAAAAAAAAAATTATTTTTTATTATAGTACTTATATCAATACCTCTTTTCCTTATTTAAATTATTTTATAAAAAAAAACTATACAAATTTGTTGTACAATTTTCATTTCTTTGGTAGAAATACTTCTAGTTCTAAGTCACTGGAAGTAATAAAGAGTGCCTTTTCAATATTTGGCTACTGCCCTTTTTTTTGAAAATGACGCATCGCACTAAGTTTACACATTATTTTCTAAAGAGGGAAAGTGTGGCCAATTTGTGGGATTTGTTGATTCTCATATGCGTAAATATCCAATATTTTAAATGGTTGTTTTCATAAGTTTTTGGCTTTTAAGTCAACATACAGAATAACGCCAAGAACATTCATATAGAACAGCATGGAACTAGTGCATGGCCATTGTCCATTGTCGCTTGTCTACTCATCTTTTTTAAGTCATTAATTGACTACTTATAATAATAAGCCAAACCCACTTTTTTGGTAGATGGAAAAGAAGCCTAGCTTGATTTTCTGATTTAGATACATGGTGCTATTATTTATTATGAGTCTGGCATTGATGCTCATCCCTATTACAAGATCTCTATTCTCTGCTACTTATCTTGTAGAATTTATCGAAAGCAACAAATTATTTTGTACTTTTCAGCCTTGCTGATACCAAAGTTAGAGGTTGCAAGGTGGGCAAATTAAAAGTCATCTTTATTTGTAAACTTTTCTACAATTTCTTTTTTACTATTCTTGACTAAGATAAATAGGACAAGAAAAAAATGCATGAGATAAAATTATTCATGTAACATAGAGACAAAAAATAAATGAAAAATAATTAGTATTATATTATACAGAATCGTTAACTTTTACAATAACTACTTTAAAATTCATATTTACAAAGATTTTTAATCAGATGATAATATACAAAAAAAAAGTATGTATTAACTATATCGACCTTAAACTGATATAAAATAATATAATTCAAATTGAAATATATACACACGTGACACGTTTTATCTAACAGCATCTGTCTCCAGCATCTGGTGCCAAACTAGTAATGGCAGGCTTTAGTTTGTAATCTTTATCTACAATTACAGCCTATGTAACTTGATGGTTACTGCTGCATAATTCAACAGAATCATCTTCATTGATCGGTTTACAAGAGCTGTCTGTTCTTGACAAATGTTTTATTGCAACAATAAGGAACATATTCTATACTGAAATTGTTCCCTACTGTCTATGATCTGCACATTCTGGACCATTGAATTTTTTTCACTTTGAAGCTAAGTTCATCTTAACCATAGATTATAAATTCTCCTAGATCGACTTCGCTTTTTTATGTTCTTATTTACCAAGAAATGTGTAAGCAACTTTTATTTCCATGTGTATGTTACTTACCTTTATGGGCAGGACAGGTATCTTTTTACCTTTGACAGGCAAAATATATGCGCTGGAAGCTTCAACAGCATAACAAGGATATCACTTTGGAAAATGCACTAATTTTCTTTTTTTAAAGAGAGTAAGATGCATAGCTCTATGCTTTGCAAACTTTGTACGATTTAGGTAGCAAATATTTTTTCAGTTATAATTAATAATGGATTACAATGTACTGTCCAGTGTGACTTAAAGTAATTAACATCTTATATATAAAAATGAAATGCATTTAATAAGAAAATTTCCCATTTTGAAGTTGTAAAAATTATAATTTTAAATCACATAATCGTATATGAATGATAAAAAAAAAATAAAAGTTAATTAATAATTGAGTTACATGACCTCTTTAAAAATTATATCATTACATTACATTAGACTCTCAAATTACAAGTATCAATCAAAACTTGTAATTAATCTAATTCTTATATATTAACAAAAATTTAGTTTGTGATTTTAACAATAGTAAAATTAATTTAGACATTAAAATTGATAGCATTAAGTCAAATTTATCTTTACAAAATCAATCGATTTATTCTCAAATTTCAATGAACATTGTTAACTTAGTTGTAAAATTAACGACCATTAGTCGATCTAAATCTAATCCTTAATGTTAAGGCTAAAATTGACTAATAGATAACAAAATTAGAAACAAACTTAATTGATGCTTCCTAAAGTAAGGAATAGAAATATTTGATAGTTATTGTTACAACTAGAAGGTAATAACGGTACAACGAAAAAAAAAGTGTTTAAGAAAAAATCTTTTAAGAATAGAAGAGTTGGTACAAAAATTTATTTTAAAAAATCTTGGAAAAATTTTAAAATAATATAATCTTTGAAACAAAAATGAGTTCGATAGTCATTTATGCGTAGGGAAGGTATTAGTATCTTATAACGTCCGTTTAAAATTAGTTACCTAAAATTAATTGTGTAAATTTATTTTAATTTTAAAAAATATTTATTTAATTCCTAAACATTTGTTATTTTTATTTTAGAAGAAGAAAAATTATTTATTGAAATGTTAACTTTGTATTTTAAAAAAAGAAAAAAATTATTTTGACTTAACAGATTCGGTTTCCGCTCTTACGTATCATTAGGTGCATTAGAGAACTTAAAACCGCGTAGTTCTATCTAAAAATTATAAAGTTGGTTGATTAAAATTAAATTTAGTAAAGAATATTTATTTTGAGATTAATTTATAAAATAATATTTAAGATATGAAATAACGCATCACGTATCCTTCGAGATATAATATGAAAGGTGAAAGAAGATGACTGCAAATCATTAAAATATATTTTTATTTGTAAATGAAATATTTGAATTTAAATTTTAAATTATAATTAATATTGAAAGAAAATTTAAAATAACATAAGTTATACATAAATCTCTTATAATTTATTGAATAATCGAACGCAATGTAAATTATACATCATTGTCGTAAAAATTTGTATAAATAAGTAAAGAAATATTTAATTATTTAATTTATCAAAATTAGAAGTATGACTTAAGAAATTTTTAAATATAAAATTAATTTTATTTTGATAAAAAATAAATTTATTTAAATTGATTAAAGAAGATACTTATTTAATAAAAAGATTAAAAATTTCATTTGATAGATTTATATAATATAAAACCTAAGATAACGTTAGTACACATAAGTTTTTGACAATTTATAATGCATAAAGGTAGAGTCGCTACACGTTAGTATTATAAATTGTTTTATTAATAAAATAATTTAAATTTAAATTAGTTGATTTATTCATAAATTAGTAATTAGAAGGAAAATATATCTTGATTTATTATTAAGATAGGTAACTAATTAATTAAAGATAATATATAATAAATTAATATTGCATCAAATCTTGGTAACATAAATACACATAGACTTTATCAATTTATAATATATGATAATAGAGAAGTTATACATTAGTATTATAAATTAATGCAATTATATTATTATTTATTAATTAATTATACAAAAAATAAATAATTTACTATTCATAATATAAGAGAAAGTAATCATAAATGTAAAATTAAATCACATCAATATTCTACAAATATACAATAAATGAAATAAAAGATAACTTGCATAAATAATTGATTTGATATATAAAATATTTTATTCAAAATATAAATATGCATGAAGAAGGAAAAAAATTGTATAAAATATATAATAAAACTTACTTAATATTCTTGAAATTTTTGTTTGCCTTTTGTTCTTTTTCTTTTTCACTAGCCCAATTTTTTTTATATTTTTCAGAAAAATCTCTTCCTCTCAAATTCTTGAATCCCTTTCTCATAGTTTCTCTCCCTTTTTATTGCTAGGATTTTTATAAAATGCCAAAAATCTAAAAATTTCTCTTTTTATATATAAAGTAACATTGGTTTAAGAGTTTAATTATTTGTCAATTATATTTTTTTTAAAATTTATTTTTCTTTAAAACTCTTTGTTTCCATTCTCCTTTTATAATATTAAAATTAAAATTTTAGTGTTGACAATTATCGAAATCCATAATGAAGACTAAAATGGTTGTTTATAAGCCAAAGCATAGATAGATCCTCTTGGGCCTCTAATCACAAATGTTCTAGACCTAACAAATGTTACAAGGCCTCTCAGCTGCGTTGTCCATGATTATATAGGGCCACCAACATGAATATTTTGAGTGTCCAATAGACCCCAAACTACAGTGCAGTTCTTGTTGAGATGATTAGTTTAAATGCAGCTTTAACTTGCAATAATAATGATAAGAAGAAGAAGAAGAAGAAGAATGATGATGCAATTGAATCAATATTTAGACCCTGGGCATAAAGAAATTTTAATGTGAGAAACAATGTTATTCCCACTAGCACCCCTCAATGGTGAAAGGACCGAATTGAAACACCCATGCTCAAGTGTGGATGTTCCCCATAAATCACCTATCTTCTTTTTCTGTTTCTATTTTCGTTTCCCAATACAAAAATAAAATTAATAAATAACAGAGACTCTTACTTTTAAGAATACAGATAATTTTTTTATCAACGTGTCATATTTTTATTGGGAATAAAAAAAAAACAACGGCATGCAACTTCTATTCATTATTTGTTGACAACGGCCTCACAACCAGATGATCCTTTCCTGCTAGTCCTAAATTTTAATATTTTACTTGCGTTCACACGTGTGAAATTGATTTATTTAATTGAAGATTTTGCATTTGAATTTCATCGTATTCAAATCTCCTTGAACCAACGATAGTCATGAATCATAAGTAGAGATTAATTTTAAATTCTTTAAACTTAGAACACCTTGTAATTTCTAACTTTAGAAAAAAAAATTCTATTTTTATAATATTTTTATTTTATTTCAAAAAACTTGTTAATATATCTTATTAAAATATTTTAAAATTTAATTTCAATAAATTTTATAGTCAAATTTATAATAAAAGTTTTTATATGATAAAAATATTATTATACAATTACTTAATTAAATTATTTACCATAACACTCCTATCCTTATTAGGGGTGGATGTTGTGGAGAGCACAACAAGTATCCAAAAAGGCTCAATGGGGAAAATGTGGCCCTCACCCATTTCGTTGTGGACATCATGCAAATGATAGGGGCCCAAATTCCATTTCCAGACAAATTTATGGTCCTTGTAATGCCATTTCTTTTAGTATAGTCTTTTAATGAACACTATCTTGAAATTCTTGGATTATGGAGAAGGGTACTTTTAAATGCAATTAGTCTTTTAATTCAAGTCTTTGCCCTGTCCCAGCCGTTTCCTCTCGTTTTCTTGTCTCTAAGATCACTAAAACAAAATAGATGAATAAAAATTGGGTTCAATGAAACGAAACAATCACATCATCACTGAACCAAAATCTGAAACTAAAGGCTGCAGACGATAAACCAACCACTATGCCATTTTATGAGGATGAAGAATGGAAATAATGAAGTATCCTTTATGTGTGAGCTAGAAATTTGTGTTCTCAAATAATACAGCATTATTGAACAAAATTTAGTATCCTTCCTGTCACAACCAAAATGCCAAAACATTTATCTGATGTGTAAAGTGAGTTTTTTTTCATAACCTTTTTTCGTATATAATAATTCAAATTTTAAATTTTGTTTAAGCGATATCGAGCCATACTAAGTTCAATTTTTATTATGTTTTTCTTTTAACATTACATGGTTATAAAATGGTTTAGTTGTGTTACATGAGAACAAAGGACATTGATTATAGATAGAAAGTTGTTATCTTGCTAATAATATTCAATTTTATGAGCAATATAGATCAATGAACTCACCTTACTTCTTGAAAAGAAAAATAATCATGAAAAATATGGATGATATGACATTTTACCTATTTGCAAAACATGATGATATTAATGAAAATAAATTAAGCTTATTTGAATTAAGGTTTAAATGGTGAATTTATTTTAATATTATTAATTATAATTTTTTGATATTAAATCTAGCTTATAAGTTTTTGATATACTTTTGACTATTAAATAATCTGTAATTAGTGTCCGAAATCTCATCATATGAAGTACTTTATAAAATTTAAATTTTCTCTAATTTTGACGTGAATATAACTATTCAATTAAGATTTGTTTAAATAAAAAAATTTGTTAACAAATTTGCTTAAACGAGTTTTCTCTCACTGAAAAATATACAAAACTTCTTAAAAACAACAGTAATTTCTCTGATCCTTCAATTTTATCATCTTCTTTTCAACCTCACAATTAAGTCTTTAGCAGTATAGATGATTTATACGTAATTCAAAGCAATGACATTATTTCTCGAATTCACCTTAGAAATCATATAATGATGCTATGTGACTGTTAATTAATTGCAATTAACTGCAATAGTTTACTATATATAATTGACACCCTGTGACACAACAAGCGAAAAAAAATAGTTTACTATATATAAAATGAAAAGATAAAACTATAAGCCATAGCATGTTTACGGTAAAAAAAAAAAAAACCTATATATATTCATTACACAAATTTTATGGTATAATTTTATTTCCAATTGCATATACTTATTTTGAGATTTCCTTTTAGGTTGATGTAACTAGTCCCATATTAATTAAACCATAGCTAAGTCTCCTCAATTAATTCAAATAAAGCTTGATGGACTTTAATTATTTGAGGGAAGAAAAAGTAAAGAACCCTTCAGTACCTTATTTTTCTTCTGTTAAATTAAAAAATGTAATTCATTATTACAAGTATATTATATATCTTTTATAATTTTAAATATTCATTTCAATCTTATGTTCATGAATAAAGGGTAATTGCTAGATAAGAATAATGGTTAATTTGGTTTACTGTGTCTCCGTTTATTTATTTATTTATTTTATAGTGCACTGATTTGAATACATTGCATTCTGTATATGTTCCAAATGCATAGTATTCCCTCTTTCAAAAATCACCAAAGAAATACACAGAGAGAGAAGGGACTTGAAATATTCTTTCTTCTTCCTCGATTTCGTTTTTCTCAATTAGACTTCTTACGCATAAAATTAATATTAAACCAAAAATGTTCACCTAACTAAAAGTTGAACTGTAAAGTTTTAGCAGTATGAAATTTAAGTATGTTTGATGAAAGCATACTCTAACATGAGGATAGTTTTATAGTATTTTATGTATAAATTTAAATAAAAAAACAGTTTTGTAATAAAAAAATAATAAAACTAAACAACCCTTAATTTTCTAACATGACGATGCAGTGTTTGAATTTGAGATTTTGTTTTAAAAAAATTGGACACGTATTGCATGAATATTTTTGAAAACATAATTTAATAAGATTGGACGAAGATAATACTTCATTTTATTTTTTTTGTTTGCTTTTCGTAAAGGGATGAAGATAATGATACACATTACCAAGTGTAGACTTGGGAGAATGAGTGCAGAAAATCCACAGATGCATGCTATCGCTTTTAAATTACTTCTATGAGCAAGAAAACTTCCCATTTCCGTGAAACTTACGTAAATGTTGTGTTAGTTTAATTTTAAGACGTAGTCCAATTCCAATAGGAGAAAGGCATGCACGAAGAAGAAAATCATGGAGTTATTACGCTTTGCCCTTAATTAATTGAAAATTATGTTCTACATATATTAATTTTTACCATTTTTTCAATATTTGTTTGTCTTCTTTCTACTTAATTCTATCTTTCACTATTTTGACTGTTTTTCTATTACATCATTAAATTTTGTTGTTCTACTCATACCATTCCACCGAAATAAATGTTATATGAATGCATCAATTTATTTTCATAATTATCTGTTTATATATATTTTCCGTTGACACATTTATATTTTTAACCATATTTTTAAAAAGGTTTTTCATGCGCTATACGATTATTATTAAATTAAATTATTTTAAAATAATTAATTAATGATGTATTATGTTATTATTTTTAAAATTAATAAATTTTATAAATTAAAAATAAATACTCAATAAAAAAAGTTACATGACATAATGAGAAAAAAAAATAACTCTTTAAAATAATTATTAAAAACACTCTCCGAGAATTAGATTTAACACATTGAGGTAGATTAAAAAACTGTAACAATAAAGAAAAAATACCATCCCCTATTTTTTTAATATATAAACATGTAATGTGCCTCCAGTAATTATTTGCACTTTACAAAACTTCACAACTTTGCATGCTGCGAATATGATAATTAGAAAACAAAAATCTATTTGTAGAATACTTTGTATATATTCTTTTATAATTAAGAATAATAGAATGATAAAAAAAAAAAAAGGTGTGGGATAATGGTAAAAGAAGATAGAGAGAAAATTTTGATATATAATTTAAAAGATGTGAAAAGAATGTATAAGAATTATTTAATTTAAATAAACAATGTTAATCAAAGAAAGTGTTTATATTAAATAATTTTTCGTTAAATTAAATATTGAAGGTTTACAAGAAAAGCAAAACATTAATTTTAAGAAACATATAGCCAGTAAACGAAAACGGCAAGACGACTGTAGCCAGCGAGTTAGAATTTTATGTTCTACTAATGAAATGATAAGAGAGGATTAAATTGACTTTTAAATTGAAAAAAGAAAAGAAAGAAAGAAAAAGAGAAAGAATAAATTGATGGTTGAGGATGACAATAACTCTAATTATTATTTTTTAGATCACAATAACTATTTCTTTTTAGTTCCTTAAATTATAATCATTAATTATTTAAATTTATAAAAAATCATTTTAATTTTTAACTTTATAAATGTTTTTCTTTTCATTTTTTGTACCGCAAGAGTATATATTTTATGACTTTTTCATTAGATTATTATTATTATCATTATTATTATCTTTTTAAGGATTGTTGAATTTGATTAAAGGGTTCTTTTAGACATTGACTGCAATTAACTATCAAAATTTTGTGAGAGATTAACTCAGATTGTTCTTTAGACTCATTTTGCTTTAATTTGAGAATTTTTATATTTTAACAAAAATTGGTCAAATTTTATTAAGAGTTTAACTCGTTATTAACTTACAAACTTTGTTTTACAATTTTATTTCATTTTGCATCCTACCCACAGAGAATTAGATGAATCAAGATGATAATTCAAAAATGTAATTTCAAGTGAGATTTAACAATGTTATAGAGAAAGAACTAATTTTAATAAAATTAGATTGAACAAAAAAAATTTATAAAAAAAAAATCAAAGAATCAAATCATTAATTTTATCTATTTTCTATTATAAAAATTTAAAAAGAAAAAAAAAACTTTAGCCTTAGGTGTCCTCGCATGCTAAAAACTAATATTAACTCACGTAATATTTTTCAAGTAATGATGTAGGACTTATATGCATCATCTATAAAATTAGAAAATAAATTATTTCCACTTTAACTTCATGAATTATAGAACAATATCAATTTCATATTCTCACAAATGATAGATAAATTTAAATAAATAAATAAATCGGCTCCCAATAGCAAAACGCTAATTACATCATTATTTTGATATAATCATGATTTTTATTTTATTTTTTAAAAATTCTTTACATTTGGTAATGTTTATAGTATAAAAAGTAAGTAAACTTAATTGATTATGACCTTGGACAAAATTGGAAAGTAGGGTAAGAATTAAAACTGGAAACTTAATTGTTTATGATATAACACAGACATATTTCTATAAAATATATTTACATAACACAGACATATTAAATTATCAATAGCCCCACCCTACAATGTATTAAATTACCAAATATTATAGTTTAAATTAAATATATAAAGTGAAAATATAAATGTCTTAGTTTAATTTAAAACATATAAAATTTATGAATAATTTAATGATAAATGTAGTGTATTTTTACATAACTTTCTCCACTTTCTGGAAAAAGCCATTGCCCTTGGCTCTCTCTCTAACGTTACCATCCCATTATTAAATAGGACCGCCCTTTCTGTCATTCTATCCACAAATAAACACAACTTGCTTTCGTTGCATGTTGGCTTCTTCTATCAACTTCTAACCTTTCTTCTCTCTCCCTCTTTCCAAATCCTCAAATCCCAAAAATGGTGACTATGGTTTCTCAAGACAACGTTGTGGCATTGGTTTCTCGTACAGGCAGAGAGTTGCAACGCTACAGAAAAGGTCGTCGACAGGTCGTGGGGTTCGTCTCTTATTTTATGATAAGTTAATATATATATATAAATTTTTTGTACCAAGAAATGTATAAATTTTTCAGTATTCTTCTTTTTCTTTCTTTTTGCTGATTTTAGAACCATGAGTGATTTTGCTTAAGCCTTTGTTTCTCTGTTGAGTCTCATTTCAATTGTGATTGAACTTTTTTTGTGTTCCAATTTTGTCTATACATCTGTGTAGATGCATACCATACAGATATAAAATTGTTGATCAAACTTCCTTGGAGGCACCTGAAGAATTAGAGGTTTTGGTTATCACTTCTCAGAAAGGTAAAGGGATGCTATTTCCTAAGGTAAGCATAGCTACACTAACTTATTAGTCAATGAAATTCAACACCCAAATGGCATGTTAATTTGGTTTATTTACATTTTTTTTCACCCCATTTGTGTTATTTGTTTGACCAAACACCAGGGAGGTTGGGAATTAGACGAATCTAAAAAGGAGGCAGCTCTGCGAGAAACCATAGAGGAAGCTGGTGTTCGAGGCACTGTTGGGGTGAGAAGCTACTTGATAAAATAACTGATTTTGATAACTTAAAAATTGAGTTTAAGAATATAACAATAGTAAATTTTTATTAAAAAATATTTAAAACATTAAAAATGTAAAAGGGTAATAAATATTTTTTGAAAAAATATATATTGACTGTGCTTAGATGTTTAAATTCAGTCTTCAGAATTAAGGTTAACAGTAAAATAATAAACCATTGGCCACTAGCATATCTAAACTTGCAAGTTGAAATGAAATGCTCATTTTTTATATTTTTCATTATGGTTGATGCAGGGTAAATTGGGTAAATGGAGTTTCAAGAGCAAAACTCATGATACTTTTTATGAAGGCTACATGTTCCCTCTACTTGTTCAAGAGCAATTAGAGTTTTGGCCAGAGCAAAACTTTCGTCAAAGAATATGGGTGGGTAAATAAAAAACATGGGAGCACTGAGATAGTGTTTGAATTATTCTTTTTGTTCCTTCTTCTAAATGATCACTGAGATAGTGTTTGAATATTTCATTTTGGGTGTGTGTAGATGAGCGTTTCTGAAGCAAGGGAAGTTTGTCAACACTGGTGGATGAAAGAAGCACTAGAGAGACTAGTAAACCGTCTCATGGGTCGGAAACTTGGTCATGTGAAACAAATTGTAGGTTCTATACACTGCATTGGAGATGGCAAATCTGACTTGTAAACAGGGCTTAACCCTTTTAGCTTTTCTTGGACGGCAAAAACTGAGGAACAGTAGGCTCCAAACACTTATGGAATTAGAACAAACTGATAGAATTAGAATATAAATAGTAGTAGTTGAAGTAAATCACATAGAAGTTTACAATGGCCCCATTAAAATGTATGTGAGAATTCACTTCATCTGTACAGTGAGACTTATGAAAATCCATTGTTCAATAAACAATTTGCCTTTCTTTTCAATCAACATTTGGATAACATGTAAAGTGAGGGGCTTAGCAGAACTGGGATATGATATATTATTGCACAAGCAATGGTTGTATTGTATATGCCTATATAGGTAAGTGGAGATAAGGCTCAATTGAGTTGAGACTGTGAAATATTGCTACTTATTACTGTTTGACATGGTTAGCGTGTCAAGAAATTTGATGTTCTATTCCCTTTAAGGAAAAGGACATTTTGTCTAGCATGAATAAAGTTGAACCATTTGATTCGAAGGAATCTACATGAACTGAGCCAATGTTCTAGCATTTACCACTAGAAACTTGGTTTCTCTGCATCTTATGTCGCGTACAAATCTGACTTTTTGTTCTAATTAATGATTGATTATAAGTTTATATATATTTTTAGTTTCCATAAATATTTTTTATTAGTTTTAATCATTATGAATTCAAAAAATTTAAAATAATATCAGTGAATATCCATTAATGTCATGATATGTATTTAGTTATGTTAAATCAATTACTATTTTGATGTAATATGTGACCTAACATATAACATATATAAATATATGCCATATCATTTGTAAATAATGATTGAGAACATTTTTAAAAATCATAAAATTCAAAATCAATAAAAAAAAATTAAAGCTAAAAACTAATATAACCATATATAAGAGGCTAAAATATATTTTATGCTCAACTATACCTTTTAATTAAAGATCAAAGTGAAGATATGCTTCTTCCTTGTTTTCTTTTTACATTTTTTATACTGATTTTCTGTTGAATATCCTTCATTTTTTTTTCTTTTGGAAACATCAACATGAAGCTAAGATTGGAAGTAGCATAGTTGGTACTCTAACCGTTTGAGGTATGAATGACCAAGAAAAAAAGAAGAAGCTAGAACTCAAATAATCCTTTGATGGTTGGAGGAATACGTGTGGAATTGGTTGACTGAGCCATTATCTTGATCAACAGTGGAATACCCTAGACCAAATTGAGAAGTGAAAAGTTGAAGATTTTGGTCAAGGAGAGAAATTTTATTGAAGAGAAGAAGGGGTTGATAAAAAAAAAAAAAAAAAAAAAAAACCTCTCAAATCTCAACAATTGGTCCAAACACTATATTGGACTTTGATCTCAACACACACGCTACTAACAGCAAAAAAAATAAAAGGAAGAAACTCGCACATTAAACTATATATTTTTTTGCCTCTTACTTTTATTCAACTGTTTTTGAACATATGCTATAATTTTTAATGTTTTATTTGTAGCATTGTAGTATTGTTCTATTTTCAATGTTCCATTTTACTTCTATTTATACTAATATTATCAACAAAAGTGCATTAAAGTTTATGGGTGTGCTAGCGTTAACGTGTGAAAATAAATATTCTACATAGTATAATATGAAATCAACTTTTATAATAATTTTTATATTTTAAATAAATGTTAACCATATATTTCAAAAATAAAAGAAAAAAAGGTTATTAAAAAATAATCGACATAAATTAGATAAATATGTTAAATTTAAAATTTAAATTAAAAAATAGATAGTGCATGTATAGATAATCTTTTTACAAAAATTGGTCAATTAGATCACCTTAGTTTAAATAAATAATAAGATGAATTTTGTAGAATTGGGCCGAGGATTGTGAACTGGGCTAGACGAAACTGGGCTGACTGTGAGTGTAGAGTAGAGTTGCCTGTAAGGATTAGAAATCAAGACAAGGTTACATTTAGACCCAAAAAAAAGGCAAAGTTACATTGTAAACTTAATCAATTTCATTTTTTCTATTGATCTCCCTAGTGCAAATTATATATAATTTATATTTTAATTTTACCTAATTATGTCTCTCGAATGTGGGAGAATTGTGAAAGAAAGAACAAGAAGTCAACATTAACGGTTTTGTTCTCTAGTAAAAGCAAGAGTCAAGGGCATTAACTTCAAAATAGTCTGGTTCTTTATTCTCTACTCCTTTTATTCATTGAAATTGCACCAGATTAATAGCTGATCATCATTATATAATATACTTCCCTTTGATATTATATACTTTCAAGCAGGGAACCTATTAAAACTTATGATCCTATTAAAAATAAACAGTTTAGCAAGTCATTAAAATTCTATTGTAATTTAGCCAGAACTACCAATTTTCCCTCTACTGTCCTATGGTGTTCTCAAGCTACGTTTCTTTCAAGTGTGCATCTGAATGTTTGTATAATTAATTACACGCTCAAGTATCAGCTTTGATTATGTACATTTCTCTTTGGAGGTGACCCTTATGATAGATATATTGGAAAAACCTTGTACTCCTATTCAAGATCATTTAGAACACATTTATATGAACTAATTATAGGTCGTGCTAAAGTTAGTATGAGATTGAGAAAGTGCGATGTCAGTTGTCCTAGAGCGTCTTCTATTGAAAAAAGCATTTGTGTAGTGTGCATCATTGGGAAAGTGTTGAAGCTCTTTCCTTTATCAGCGTGAGCTTTACTTCGCCATTAATCCATAGAGGCTTAGATTAATATATTCAGAAATCATTGGTACCCAATAAAGAACAATATTTTTCCAAGTTAGTATAATAACGCCAGTAGTAGTAGTAGTGGGCTTGTTGTACCAATGTTCCTTTTCTAAACATGCATAGCATACATTAATCTATATATATATATATACAATACAAAAATTTTATTCGTTATATATATATATATATATATATATATATACGAGATAAAAAGACAATAAAAAAATTTATTAGTGATATGAGATATCAAAGAGAAGTAAAGTAATAGAAAATTGAAGAGACTGTAAATATTTAAATATTATTATTGTGAACAAGATATGGTGTACGGATAGGATGGACGGATGGAAGCATGTGTTTTAGGGACAAAGAAACAACAAAAGTAAATTCGAACATTATTGACATGTTTTTGAAACCATGACAGAAACTGTTATGCAACCAATTTATTTCGGAACACACTTTTTTAATATATTTTTAATTATTAGTTAAAATTTATTTAAAAAATACAAAAAATGAAAGAGATTAAATAAATTAAGAATAAAATGATATAATTTATATATTTTAAATTTTAATTAATATTTTAAAAAGTACGATATTAGCAAATTTTCATCTTCCACACCGGAATGCTCTATCATCGACAACTTGGGCAAAGAACCAAAATGAGCATAGACTGCAATACCACAAAAAACTTAATTAAACCAGATAATTAGAGAGAATTAATATCAACCACTTATGCAAAATTTATACGAAAGAAATTGACTCTTACCAGCCCACAATCTCAATGTAAATTAATATGCAACTATGTCCTTTGAAGTTAACATGTCCGATTTCAAACAACTCAATTAAGGAAAGTTCAAACTGTCACTCTCTCCAACTTTAATCAGATATATAATGCTTTTCTGCGATGAAGTTATCTTCTCGACCCATTCACAATTTAAAATAATTTTCTCAATGCTTACCCAAGTATAAATCTGGCTCACTTTTAACATTATCAAAATTTTGAAGTTTTGTTTTCAAAAGAAAGAAACTAAAGTTGCTACTTTTTTTTTTTTCGATTATATCAACCTAAAAGAAAAAGAACCAAGTATAATAATCAACTAACCCAAAAAAAGGAAAAGAAAAACAATGAATGGAAGCTTTTTCAGCTTTCTTCGGCACAGATATTACATGGGTGGATTTTGCTTATTTAAAGCAACTGCTTGTGCATGCACACAGGTCGTTCTCGCACCAATTGCATAGCTCAAAATCTTCATTTCATTTCCAATTTTCCATAACATGATTCACTAGTAATCAATCATATACATGTACACACGTACGTCAACATCTCCAATAAATTAAAATTCCCAAAATGACACTCTCACTCATAATTTTTCTTCTTTCTGTGATTTCATTTCCTCGTTTTTCGGTGTCTTCCTCCACAAGCGAGTTCCTCTACAGCGGGTGCACGCAGCAAAGGTACACCCCTAACTCGGCCTACGAGTCCAACCTCGACTCGCTACTCACCTCTCTGGTCAACTCAGCCACGTACTCGTCCTACAACAACTTCACCATAGTGGGCTCCACTCCTCAAGACGTCGTGTACGGCCTCTACCAGTGCCGCGGTGACCTCGCCATGCCGGACTGCGCCACCTGCGTGGCGCGTGCCGTCACGCGCGCCGGCGACCTCTGCCGCGAAACCTGCGGCGGCGCGGTGCAGCTCGACGGCTGCTTCGTGAAGTACGACAACGCCACGTTCCTCGGCGTGGAGGACAAGACGGTGGTGCTGAAGCAGTGTGGGCCCTCCGTGGGGTACAACCCCGACGCCATGGGGAGTAGGGATGCCGTGCTCGCCGGACTAGCCGGCTCCGGCGGGAATTTTCGTGTCGGCGGTTCCGGCGGTGTTCGCGGCGTGGCTCAATGCTCCGGCGACTTGAGTTCCGGCGAGTGTGAGGATTGCGTTTCGGAGGCGATATCGCGGCTGAAAAGTGATTGTGGTACGGCGGATTATGGGGACATGTTTTTGGGGAAGTGTTATGCGAGGTATTCGACCGGTGGGGCCCATCATGAGTCCAAGGCCCACGGTAAGGCCCATCATATGCTGTTTCAGTTTCTGCCATTGCTCTTTTACTACCTTCTCATGGGTTTCTTCAAGTTTTGAACATTCAAGAGAGAAGGGAAAAGTAGTGATCTTTGGGGTGTTGGTTTACTTTAATTTGGATTGGTTTGGACAGGATCATGTAATTTTCTTTTCCAATATGTAAGAAGCAAAATTTTAAGATGTGTTTAATATATTGTGATTGCTTCAAATTTTAGTATAATTTATAGTTTACAAATTTAAAAGTAAAAAAAAATTATTAAGAAAAGTAGATTTATTATATTAATAAAGTTTTAGTATTATCAATTTTTTAAGAGATGAAATTAATATTTTCTGTTTAATAAATTGAATTAATTTGTTTGTTTATTTAAAATTGACCTTCATGTATGAACCATGGATGGGACATACTGATAATTTGTTTGCTTTTACTAGCTGACTTATTTTTTTGGAATGGTGGGTCGTGTGTTGCAGGCAAGTCAAGTAAGGAAGGTCAAAAGACATTTGCTATAATTATTGGATCATTAGCAGGAGTAGCTATACTTATTATTTTTCTTGCTTTCTTGAGCAAGATTTGTGGGCGACAAGGTAAATAATACACACCTTTTATTTATATTAATCAGAATAAAAAGGATTCAGCAATATATTAACATGATTCCTTTTGGCTTGTATATATTTTCCCATGCAGGTAAATAAATTAAATTGAGTTTGTGACTTGAGTGCCATTCGCACTTATCAATTCTCGTCTTTTCCCCTCATGGCCTTCTATTTTAGTTATTTTTGGGCCTCTTTTGTTTCATTTGTTGTTTTTCTCTTTGTTTATCTTACCCCTTTTTCTATTTCAAATTTTGAAATTCAACTCGCAAGAGGACTTAGAACCTTAAGGTGGATACCTATTATGAGAAAGAAAAAGCAATGTACAATGAACATTTGTATTTGAATACAATGGGAGGGGATTGAGCTAAGAGATTCTGGCTACTTGGTACTTACTTCCCCACTTCACAAACTTGTGTTGTAATGTTGTCTAATGTCTCATGCTGGTAAAGAAAAAGTAGATATACCCTATGCGCTCATGAACTTTTTCGATGCTTTCTTGTAATGGAATTTGTAAATTTTTATTAAAATAAAATTACTCATACTATCGTATAAATTTGTGAATTTCGTATTGAAAACTTTTCAATTTATTGATCTTTCAATAAATTTGTATGACTTTTTTCGCATTTTATAATTATAGCATTTATAATAGATACGCACATTTTATAAATGCAAAAAAATGCTAAGTTCAGATTTGATCAGCGATAAGTACCGATAAAGTTTGGCTTATATGCTAAGTTTCTTACACAAGTATGGTCCCGTCAATGGCCCAATGCCTGCAGTGGTTGGCAGATCATATAAATGTTAATTAGCTTTATTTAACACACTCCATACAAAATTTATCTATATTAAAAATATATTGCCATCATAATTTTCTTATTAAAAAATTATTTTAATTTACTCTTAAAATTTAATTTATAATATATATATATATATATATATATATATATATAAACTTTATAAAACATATTTTAACCATATTTTTAGTCAACATAAAACATCTTAAATAAAAAGTTCAAAATAAATTCTGATACAATATTAGAATTTAAATATGAATCTAATTTCAGGCTTTTTTTCATAAATAAATTAAAAAAATTCATTAAATATAAAAGGAAAGTTACGATCATTCAAATGTGAATGTAATCAGACATAAAGTTGAATTGCATTTCTAAAGTATATCCTCTCAAGCATCCCCGAGGCTTCTTAACTAATGTTTCATAGTATGTCCCATCACCCAACCAAGAGGATAAAATAGTGAGAGAATATTTTCTAATAAAATTCATTTCAATATCATATAATGGAAAGAACCTAAAACAATTGCTCTTTACACACACCTTTTCTACCTTGTCTTTTACCTAAAACATCATCAATTGGATGGAATCCATCTCATTGGGTCTCTAGATGGATGCCATGTACCAAAGCTTCGAGATTAAGGAAGCATGGACCATGCACAGATGCACACTCTACATTATACATTAAAGCAGCGTAAACCTATAATCTTGTTTTGTACCCCACAAATTAGTTGTAAATTAAGAGACAAAGCAAATAAGCACTAGCAATTTAAAAAATCAATGCCAAGTATGTACTCGTACTGTACCCTAACCTGTTACAACTTGGGAACTGAGTAACTGAACTTCCCAAAGTTAGAACATCTTTAAAGGCAAATTTAATTTACTTTTTATAATAAGAAACTACGCTTTAGTAAGAACAATTACTAGAGAAAATGCTACTATTAACTTCTTAGTAAGCAAGAAATTCTTATACAAGAGCAGCTTTATTAGTATTTGTTCTTTCTAATTTCACAGTCAGTTAAAATAAGTGAAAGTTGAGTAAGACCCGCGCTTTTAAGGATGAAGCTTAAATTTTTATTATTTATTATCAAATTTTATTATATATATATAACCCTTTACGAGGAACCAAACATGTATCAACATCCATTGACGTGCTTAACGCAATTTTACTTTATTATCATACAGTTAAAATGAAAATTGTTCATTCTCCAAATTTTGCACAGCTCACAAATTTCATATGATTGCATTATCCATCTTATTCTATATATCATGGTCATGAAGATAAATATGTGACCTTTCTTAATGCTCGTTTTGTTTCACAATATTATATATATGTAAAATGTTATAATTAAAAACAAATTCATATTAATCATAACATTAAAACGGGTTTTAAATGCTGAAAGAAATTATTACTGAGTGACTAAATGTGTTTTGCTCTTTTGCTCCCACCCTTACTCCTATTTCCAGTATCAGACTCCAAGTCCAATCCAATCAATTAGCATAAACAGTTTCTTATTTTGTTAAGAAACAGTTAATTGAAACATTGCCTACTTGTTACTAGGCCCAAATAAATGGGCTCAGATTGGAAAACCCAGTTGCAGACTAAAACTTCCTCAGGAAGGACCCATTATGTCGACCAAAAACAAAAAGGGAAGAACCCAGAACAACGATGATTGAAGAAGAACCCAAAATCCCAGAACATTCTGGAGTGTCTGCGACAATTCCTATCATAAACATGAGAAACGAAAAAACATATATAATTTTATTGTTTATCACAAAAAATTGCAAGCACTACACTTATATCTCTTCTGCTACAACTCTTCTTCCCTTTTCTCTAGTGTATTAGGAGAATCAAATCAATGGCTGAAAGTATCTTTGGGTACCCGTTCAGACGCTTCTTCTGGGGTCATCCTCCAATTTTCAGAGAATGGTCTGGTTCAACGGCCCTCTTGGATTGGCTTGAATCCCCCACTGCCCATATCTTAAAAATCAATGTTCCAGGTACCATGTTAATGTTTTATTGCACTTTCTCGCCCTTTCTTGAGTTCTTTACTTTTAATGACCCATTAGAATCTTAAGTGGCGATTCTGTGTTTGGTAGTAAAAATGGAATCTTTTTGTGTGTTTGACTTAGTTAGTGAATTGGTTAATTGATTATAATTGAGTTTTGGATGATGAGTATATGGATAGGATTCAACAAAGATGACATAAAGGTTCAGATTGAAGATGGGAATATTTTGCACATCAAAGGGGATGGTGGGAAAGAGAAGACTCAAGCAAAGGAAAAGGACACTGTTTGGCATGTTGCTGAGAGAGGGATTGGGAAAGGGGATTTCTCAAGGGCAATTGAATTGCCAGAGAATGTGAAGGTGGATCAGATTAAGGCACAGGTGGAAAATGGAGTCCTCACTATAGTTGTGCCTAAAGATGCTACACCCAAATCGCCTAAAGTGCGAAACGTTCAAATCTCTAGCAGACTTTAAACCTTTCAAATATAAATATAGTTACATGAGTAAGAATTTGAGAAAAATAAAAAGATGTATTATGTTGTAAACAAATTACATGTTGTGATGAATAACGAATATGTGGTTAAACAATAATAGCGCAGTGCTTATTTTTGTTTTTATGTTTGGTCCCTCTTTGATGGATAATGAAGCGTGTGTACAACAAACAATAATAATAGCAAAGTTAGGTACGCAACACAGATCATGTGATGAGAATGCTATGTAGGAGCTGTGTAACAGGTAATAAATCGCCAACTAAATTTCAAAGGAACACGAGGATTGGAAGTTTGGAAAATACAAGATATTTTTGTGCATGAAGATGGAATTAAAATTAGAATATAAATTCCAATTCAGAATCTAATTGTATATAATTAAAAAAAAAAACATTTGATATCATTTTCAATTCTTAATTTAGACACTAAACCTATATCCAGTGTGGAAGTTTTGGAACAGAACTGTCGAAACTATTTTTGCTGTTAAGTAACTCTTTATTAATAAATCATACAACTGGAGATAGATGCTTTAATTGAGTTTTTAGTTTTTCAACAAATTTTAAATAATTTCTGTTATATTACTTACGATTGTGATTTTTCATATTAAATGATATTTATGTTTTTTAAAATATATTATTAATTTTTATTATTTATCTACACATTTAATATAAGATTAATAATAACAATCGTTTCATATGTTAAGAGGATATATTATTTAAATGTTTTAATTTGATTTTTTGTTTTCAATTTTTTTCATGTAAGTCATTTATCGTATATATATATATATATATATATATATATATATATATATATATATATATATATATTACTAAATGATGCTTTTTATTTTTGTTTTATAAATATCTTTAAATGGAAATTTCTATTGGTCTTTTACAATATTATGAATTTCTTTTTGGTTCTCGAGGGAATAAATGAAAATTTTATAATATTTAAATGGACTAAATAAAAAATAAATAAATTGAACAAATTTTTTTTATGAGACTCAATTGAAAGAATAAATAAATGAGAGATTAGAAAGATTGAGAGAAAAAAATAAAAATAAATCGAGATAAATAATTAGGAATTCATATATACGTAACAAATTTTTGTATACGCAATCATTGTATAATTGTATAACTGAAAATAAAATGGTGGAACGAAAATAGATACGGAGCTTATGCAGTTTAGGAGAAAATTGCAGTTAGAGTCTAAATTTGCTTAAGTAAAATAAAATTTGTTCAAATAAATTTAATAAAAAGTAATTTTAACTTAAATAAAAAAAATTTGTTTAGACAAAAAATTTTAAAATTTTATTTTCTTCATCTTTAAACTATAAAAAAATTGAAAACTATTTGTGTAAAATTACGTGGTCGTACTACAAAAATTTAAGTGTTTCAAAACATATAATAATATAATTATTTCTCAATTAATTTCTCAAAATTATCATTCTTATAATTTTTATAATCATTTTTAACAATTTAATTTGATTTCAAATAAATCCATCTCACTAATATTTAGCACAAATAGCACACTAAATAATATATTTAAAATATTTAATGAGATAAAATATGTAAGAATTTTTAATAATTAGATAATCACTAATAAAAAATAAAAGTTCTTCAAAATTTCTGTAATTTAGAAAAGAAAAAGATAAAATTTTGAAATTTTTTATAATTTTAATTTAAGTGTTTTTTAGTTTAAGTGAATATTACTTTTTATCAAATTCATTTAAACAAATTTTTTTAATTTAAATTTAAATTAATTTTTTATTAAATTTATTTAAACAAATTTAAGCTAAAGATAATCTAAATCCACCGAAAATAAATCTTAACTACGCCGTTGGCAAACCTAATCACTACGATCACCCAAAGTTGCTTGTCAGTACCAACTTTTAAGCACTGGTGATGGCATCCTCCTATCCCTATTCCCACCATATGCTTTGCTCACGTTGCTACCAATATTTTTTGGGTTTTAAAAAATTATTAATATTTGTTTTAAAATTTATGATAAAAATATTAATCATTTTATTTTATATATATATATATATTTGACATTCACCATTTTCGTTAATCAAGAACACAAGTTCTATTCAATTATTATTTGTATTCAGATTTATAATTTTCTGAATATTTTATTTTTATTTAATCTTTCGTTATTTTAAGTTTTAATTTAATGTGCAGACCTTTTCTTTTTACACATTTCCTTTGTTAGTTTTTTTTTTTTTAATGTTATATGTGAACTGTTTATCTGTCTCTTGAGAACAAATGACCAAATTTCAACTCTAACAAAGGTATATATGAAATTAAAATTGCGAACTTCAAATCTGATTCAAACTACCATTCAAATCGGCTTTACTAGTTTTAATGTTTAAAGGAGAAAGAGGGAGGAGAAAAGTTGGGTAGAGAGAAAATTAGAAAAAAGTTAACTTATATTTTTTGTATTGGCATATTTGACTTAAATTTTTGTTTTAATTTTTATATATATATTTTTTATATTAGTCATCTACTGTTTACTAAATATACAATGGAGGTAGTGTTTTTTTATGTATAGATTAAAATAAAAAAATAATATGTATACGTGGGAATTAAAATGTAAAGTTTTTAACATGAAATAGCTAAAATAAAGTATAACTTTTTTCGTCTAAGAATTAAAAAAAAAAATAGTATTAAGTATATAGATTAAATTTAATATTATTATGACTTTGATAAATAATAAAGACAAATTTGTAACTAATTTTCTTATAGGAATTAAATTGTAATTTTTTAAAAAGCACTAGAATAAAAAAGCATTTTAAAAAAAGGTGGAAAAAAAATCAATGTAGGACTTCTATAATATTTTTCTCTATTTAATAAAAAGGAAACTAAAATTCATAATTGTTTTTTTTTTCTTTTGGATACATATGCATCTATTTACCTTTCTTGTCCAGTGAAAGGTCTAGTTAAATCTTCTCAATTAATTAGAAAAATAAAAATGTTATATTACTTATTCATCTTCATTCCTCTCATATTTTTATTCCAAGCAAACATGTAAGAAAAAGATTTCAATTTCTTTCTCTTTTAATTCTTTTCGTTTTTTAACATTCAAAAAATTAATAATTATTTAGATGAATTGGACGTTAGTCGTTGGACCCGATTGATATAGATTAGTCGCAAATTATTTAGTGGATGAAATTAATAATAATAAAATGAGAATGTCAAAACATATATCCTATAGAATGATATTTGCAAGGATTCTTCGTTTAAGCTTTAGGCAGGTAAATCCATCGCTGATTAATATAAAATGTGCAACATATTTCTCGTTTTACATGCTTAGATACTGGATAAAATGGGCCGGGCCCAGCTCAATTATTTCACTGTACTAACCCAACTTCATATGACAGATATCTCACTTCAATTTAGATACACGTTCAAAAAACAAAAAAGACACGTTAAAATATTAAAAAATGTTTATTTTATTATAAAATGGTTCTGTAAAAAAATTAATATCTCGTTAATTTTGACTAAAATTAATTTAATTTTTAAACTTATATTTAAATCAACTTGATAACTTGTAATTTTTACATTGATTTAAAAATTTAATGTTGATTTTTAATATAAATTTACTTCTGAGAGATTTTTTCAAACATAAATAACATAACTTTAAATTCAATTTTAAACAACAATAAGTACATTCAAACATAAGTTTATAACAGCATATTCGTAAATTAACTAAAAATAACCCAGGTGAATTGAACAAGCACTGGTTGCTCCTTGGTCAAAATTGAAAGTCCAAGTAATTAATTAAAGTCAATATAATTGTGGCTACTTGGTCAATATTGTATATCAATGAAATTTCAATCAAGTTTAATCAAACTTAAAGGACGTGTAAATAGTAAATAATTAATCCCCTGAGTAAATTCACAAGTTCTGTCTGTAATAAAATATACAGCATTGTATGAAGATTTTCTTTTTATCAAAATTTAAAATTCTTGGTGCATAAGAATCGAGTTCTAAAGGCAAAAAATAAAAAAAAGATCGTGATTAAGAATGGGAAGGTTCATTTCACATAGAAAGTTTATTCATGATTATAACATGTACCTTGCTTATAACAGGACAACCCAACGCATTGGATACACGGGAATGAAAAGTCCAAAATGATGAACAAACACAAAGCACTAAACATTACGAGATATATTAATAATACAGTCTTTTAAATGTATTTTTTGCAATTAAATATTTTTTAGAAATTTATATTACCATCAATTTTGGACATTATAAATACACATTGATGGTGTAAAATATTAATGTGGTACAGAGTGCAGAACTGCTGCAGATTGAATGCGTTTCAGACTTCCAGTGAGCATGTCCTTTCCAAACCACTAAAACTGAAGGTCCCTCATGGGCTCCACTATTTTTAATACATTTTTTAATATAAACTAAAATTTATTAAACATTAAAAAAAATACGAGAATGTGCTATTATTACGTTGTTAAAATGTGTGCAACATGATGAAACATTTTAAAAAGACACATTTCGCGTTTTGGCAAGAAGAAAGGGTATGAATGAAGACATTTAAATTACGGAAAGGGTATAACATTGATACGATATGAAACGACCCCGGTTGCAAAAACGACACAAGTTGGACCCACCGTGCTAGCGTTAGTTATTTGGGTTAACCAATAATTTGTCAACACATGTCATTCTCCCAATTCATCACTACCTAATAATAGTAACTGCAGCCAATTATCAACTAATTGGACGGCACCACCGAAAAAGTAGGAAGTCGTATATTATTATTATTATATGTATAAACTATAATACTAATTCATAAGCTCTGTTCAATACATACTATAAGTGTTTGACCTGTTAAAATAGTTGTAGTTTTTTTTTTTTTGTTAACATAATTTTATTATCAGAGTATATGTAAAAATACCAAGGCTTTACTATTTAGATTTTAATGGCAATTTTCATTTTGTGTGACCCCACAAACTATTTATTAGTCTTCTGACTTAGAAAACAGTTGCATGAGTAGCGAATTTTGATTGAGAGGGACGAAAGAAGAAAAAGGTATAGTTTGTGTCTCTTAAATCTTAATATCCTCTACGACCATTTCTAGCCATCTTTTTTTGTTACTTTTGAGAATGGTCAACTATATAGCATTATTATCATTCTCAAAAAAATATCTTATCAGATTATTTGTATTCTGGAGCACATTGAAGACATTCAATTCAAAACCATGTAACGAAATAATTAGATTTCCATATATACAGAGAAAAAAAAATATATGAGAGATAAATTTAAACTTTAATAATGAATTATCAATGTTGAAATTATCATTCCATAATTTTAAAAATGATAAATTTAATTTTTTTTATCTATAAACATAAGAACTGTATTAATATGGAAATATAGATATAATATATAGAATGAAAAAACTACCGCATTCCGAAAATTTATGACAGTTTATGAAGAGTAAAAGAATCTTAGAGAACGGTTTGGTTGTGGTGGCGCGGAATGAAAATTGCATTCACACAGCTGAAAAGACAAAATCATGAAATAGCAGAGTAGCTTTTATTAGCTCTTCTGTAATGCAGTAAAAAATAATTTAAACTCTTACAAAGATACCTTAACCACTGCGAAAACTTCACTTTTAATATTGAATTTCGCTGACTAATATATTTAAGATGCCCGTTAAAGAATAAATAAATAACAATTTTTTATTAATATATATATATATATATATATTAAAAATTACGGGGTGGATATTTTGTTTTACATTTTAAATTATTTTTTATTTTTAATTCTTTAATCAATACTCTAAGATTACTAATTAGCATTTGCTTTTATTTTTTAAGATATATATTTTTTAAATATATTATTGATATGTTACTATTATAACTCTTAAGACATTTTTTATTTATTATTTCTAAACAATAAAAAATGTTTTAAGTTATATGACTGAGGGTAGACAATTCAAAATGAGAGAAACTTAAAAAATAAAAACATTAATATAGTGCATAAAATACTCGTTAATTAATCAATACAAACTTGATATTCTAGGCAGAAACTATCATCTTCAACTAAAAACATTAATCTCATAATCAATCGGTGCAAAAAAAAAATAATAAAAAATTAGAACTTAGTAATTAATATATCTGGTCAACACTAGGAAGCAACAAAAATGGCTTTAACCTTTTGAATGAAACGAAAGGCGAAAGCAAAGATGGAATGATTTGGGTTGGGCGAAGTGTGTGTAAAAAACTAAGCAGTATTTCATTTAAGTAAAAGAACAAAAACATTACTCGAAAGGAAAATGGTCCATTTCAAGAGCTGAAAGGAAAGGGGTAGTCCTGTAAACGCATTTCCCTTTTCATCTAATTTAAACGCCCCAAAAATCCTATTTTTCATTGTCTTGTCCGAACTTTTAAGAATATATTTTTAATTAAAAGTTTAAATTTATTAAAAATCATGAGAAAACAAGAAAAAATATTTAATGAAAATTAAGAAAAATAAGACTTAAATGATCTATAACATGTAAACCTATATTCATTTAAGATATTTTAGAAGAGTTAAAAATTTTAAATAAACAAAATATATTTTAAAATGTATTTAATATTATTTCAATTTAGCTTCGTATCAATTATATTTTAAAATAATTACACATTAACAATAATAGATACAATTTTATATATCCTAATATTATATATATCATTATTTTAATTCATACTCTATTATTTTTATAATTTAATTATGAAAATAAATTTAGTATATTATTAACGTAAAAAAAATTATGTCGTTAACTAATTGAAATGTATTATGAATATAAATTTTATTATGAAAATAAATAATTTTGGTTGATTTAATAATATATAATTAAATGATAATATAAATTTTGTTTATATCATCAATATATTTAGATAAAAAAATATTAAAATTAATATGTTCTATCAATAGAATCTGTGAAATCAATTTTATTTTATAAATGGTGGAATTCTAATGGGTTGAATTTTATATAAAAAATAATTTATGAAAAATTGAAATCAGAAAAGAACAAAAAAAAAAACCCATCTCCGCACCACATGTCCCACTTACGGGCCCAATATTAATAACTTAAAAGCAAAAATAAAAACAAGTATGGGACCCACAATGAGGTTTTCCCTGAACAGAGGATCCAGCTCGGAGGTCACGCTAGGACGAATGGAATATGTGGGGTCCACCTAGAACCTTCCTCTATTTTTTTAATCATAAAATAATCACCCGATGCGGTACATTGGTCTTTTTCTGCACGTGATCGTACGCTAACATTTCTCGCGTAAAAGCGAATTCGATTCTCTCTCTTTCTCCAACCTCAAGAGGTTTTGTTATGTTATAATACGTGACACCCACCACCCTCTTTCACGCCACTCACTCTTTTCTCCTCTCTCTGCGTTTCTTTTTTCTCTCATTTTCTCAGCAACCAAACAGCACAAGCCGACCACACTTCCCTCAAGAGTCCCCATGCCGCGGGTTCCCTAGCCGACCCATTTTCCCTAAACCCCCCAAATTCGCGACAAAGAAGCTTCCTTGGCGCCAAAAAAATGAAGTCCGAGCGGGTCAAAGAAGCGCTTCTGCTTACTCTCACATCGTGCCTCTTCGTCATTGCAGGTTCGGATCTAGCTTCGGACAGAGCGAGCCTGTTATTGCTCCGAAGCAGGGTGGGGGGTCGAACCTTGCTTTGGAACACGACCCAAACAAGCCCTTGTTCATGGACCGGCGTGCTCTGCAACAACGGAAGAGTAACGGTTTTGCGTCTCCCCGCTATGGGTCTTACCGGTTCGCTCCCGACCGGTTTAGGGAACCTGACGGAACTGCAGACACTTTCTCTCCGATTCAACGCACTAACTGGAGGAATTCCCTCGGATTTCGCGAACTTAAAATCCTTACGTAACTTGTATTTACAGGGAAACTTTTTCTCCGGTGAGGTTCCCGATTCGGTGTTCGCTTTGCAGAACTTGGTGAGGTTGAATTTGGGTTCCAACAATTTCAGTGGAGAGGTTTCAACCAAGTTCAATAGTCTCACTCGTTTGGCCACTCTCTATTTGCAACGCAACGGGTTCACCGGCTCTGTCCCTGACCTTAGTGTTCCTCCTCTTCAGCAGTTCAATGTGTCTTTTAACCGGTTAACCGGGTCAATTCCCGAGAGGTTTTCGCGTTTGGACCAAAGCGCTTTTGTTGGAAACTCGCTTTGTGGGAAGCCCTTGCAACCTTGTCCCGGAAGTGGGAAGAAAGATAATAACTTGTCTGGGGGAGCCATTGCGGGTATTGTGATTGGTTGTGTGTTGGGTGTGTTGTTGATTCTGGTTCTTTTGTTGTTCCTGTGTAGAAAAAGGAGTAGGAAAAGCGATTCTTCCATGCAAACTAAGCGGGTTGTTGAGAGTGAGGTGTCACGTGAGAAGAGTCGTGGAGATCGTGGTGGTGGTAGTGGTGGTGGAAATGGTGGTAATTCAGCTTCAGCAGTAGCAGGGTCGGTGGAGAAGAGCGAGGTTAAGGGTGGTGGAGATAAGAGTTTGGTGTTTTTTGGGAATGTTAATAGAGTGTTTAGTTTGGATGAATTGTTGAGAGCTTCAGCAGAAGTGTTAGGGAAAGGGACTTTTGGAACAACTTACAAAGCCACTCTGGAGATGGGAACGAGTGTGGCTGTGAAGAGGTTGAAGGATGTTACTGCAACAGAGAGGGAATTCAGGGAGAAAATTGAGCAAGTGGGGAAGCTGGTTCATCAAAACTTGGTCCCACTAAGGGGTTATTATTTTAGCAGGGATGAAAAGCTCATTGTGTATGATTACATGCCCATGGGAAGTTTATCTGCTTTATTACATGGTAGTACCATATCATTTTCTTTTGAATGCTTGGTTGTCAATTTTGGACATTAGTGTTATTCTTTTTTCTGTGTGTCTTCATGTTATTTCTTTTGTTTCTAATTCAGGTGAATGATTGTGGCTGTTCTTGTGTCTACTCTGTGTTAGCTCTTTGGGTAGCTACTTGGTTGTTTTTTTGTTTCTTGATGCTCCCGTTATTGTTGTTTCTCATACATTTTTGTAGTCTACTGTGGTGGCGCGGTTTTCGGCTCCCACTTACTGTCTTGTCCAGAGCATGGCTTCATTTCATCTCATCTTTTGCCTGTCGGATTTCAGCTTACTTTTATTAATACAAGGCTTTTATTTAGTGACAAATTTGATATGTGATATTCTGGTTTGGATGTCATACATGTTTGCACTACATTATATCCATGGGACATGAAATCTTGCATCAAGAGTTTAGTCTGATACCTAAAGCATTATCTGAGAAATCTTGGAAGTTTGTGTTTCTTAGGTGGTAGCTGAGATCCTCAATGTTCTAATGGAAACTTTATTGTCAGTAAATATTTCATTTCAGAACATTACAAAATCTTCTGAAGTAAAAGTGAAAGTTCAAGGCTTTAGGATTTAGTGATTGCGTGTTAAATATTTCACCTAGATTGGATGAAATGCTAGCTGCAGGGATCAGTATTTCTGTTTCTTTTAGGTGAATGTTACTGCAGATTTAGAACTGGGATGTGAAAAAAATGGATTTTAATTTGGATTCTATACGCTCAAAAACTTTCTCTGACATTGCTTTCTTATACATCTTTTTTCTTGTTATAGCAAATGGTGGAGTGGGGAGGACTCCACTGAATTGGGAAACAAGGTCTGCGATTGTCCTTGGAGCTGCCCGCGGGATTGCATACCTTCATTCACATGGCCCAACAAGCTCCCATGGAAACATCAAGTCATCAAACATCCTTCTCACAAAATCTTTTGAAGCTCGTGTCTCTGACTTTGGCCTTGCTTATCTTGCTCTTCCAACCTCTACACCAAACCGCGTTTCTGGTTACCGTGCCCCAGAGGTCACTGATGCGCGCAAAGTATCCCAAAAAGCTGATGTCTATAGCTTTGGTATCATGCTTTTGGAACTGCTTACAGGAAAGGCTCCTACTCATTCTTCACTGAATGAAGAAGGGGTAGACCTCCCAAGATGGGTCCAATCTGTGGTTCAAGATGAGTGGAACACTGAAGTATTTGACATGGAGCTTCTTAGGTACCAGAATGTTGAGGAGGAAATGGTCAAGCTCTTGCAGCTTGCCCTTGAATGTACTGCCCAATATCCTGACCAAAGACCTTCAATGGATGTGGTGGCAGGCAAGATTGAGGAAATTTGTCATCCTAGTGTAGTGATAGAGGAAGGGAAGAATAATGATTTTAAAGATGCAGATATGGGATTTTCCCAACAGTACTACTCTGTTGATTCTGGTGCATCACATGCTTGAATATAGAATTGAAGAAACCTCATTATTTCATCATTGACCTGTTTTTGGCATGCATATTACAGAAGTGTTGTTTGTTTATTCATTGAAGTATTATAGCAATTAGCTGTGTATGTCTTTTGTCTTACTACCTCTTTTCCCTCAGTCTCTATTGTTATGCTCTGAGTCTTGGGGAGTGGCGGCTTATCTCCCAGTTTACTGCTTCATTATATCCCTCAAAAGACGTCTATTTATTTTCATTTTTACAGGATTATGTGTGAATTGTGAATAATTTGTTTGGATATCTACATTGGTGTCTTCTCCCTCTTATTTTCGAGTCGGATTGGTTTGTATCATAATTCTAAAGTTTTCTTTGCTTTTTGTATTTGGTAGGCTGGGTTTGGCCTATCGTTTGTCAATACTGGAGTGGAAGTTGCTTTTCATCTTAGGTTAGTTAGTCATTTTCAATCAAAATTTTTATGATCAATTTTTTTTTTCTTTCGAAAAGCTGAAATAAAAAAAAAGAAGTAATTTTGCTGGTTTTATTTAAAGTGATAAAATGAGAATGTTAAGGCACATGAGTGGTCACACAAGAAGAAAACATTAAAAAAAAAATGATCATGTGTGTAAAAATATTAGATTGACATCAATAGGAAAAATAATGATCGAAAATTGTTTTAAGTTGTTTGATTATGTGTAAAAAAAAAACACTACATTTAATCATAAAAATGAAAACAGAAAAATTAAAAATAATTTCACTAAAAATTATTAAAAGAGATTTATTGATTAATAATATTTATGAGAATTTAATTTTTATGATGTTTAATAATGTTATGTGTTTCATATAGTTAATGTATAAAATAACTAAAAAAAAAGAATAATTATATTGGTATTCTCTAAAATAAATAGTAATTATATTTATAACATGCTTAATTTAGAAATTATATTTAATCTTTTTTAAGTATTGTGTGTACCAATTATATAAAAATAGGAGAGATGCATAATTTTATAAAAAATAATTGGTGTCAATAGTAATAATTAATATATAAAAGAAAGATTGTAGGTATATTTTTTTAATTAAGGAAAGTTTGTCTACAATTTTTATTAACTTCATGAGAAGGAGATTATTCCCTAAATAAATTAGAGAATATATATATATTTTTAGGTATTACTAAGCAAAACCATTGAGTTAAACTTCTATAACAAATTTTACAAGAACAAAATTTAAATGGAGTACTATGGACATTGCTAACGTTGTTCTCCGATAAAAATTGAAATTTTACATATGAATAATTTGCATAATAAAGATCAACTAGTATGGTTCACAATAGTGTACAACAAAAATAAGTAAAAAAGAATAAGTGAGAAATTCAATAACTAAGTCGATTTTAGTGACTATGACAACTATAATTTTGTATTAGTTACTGTTATAAGTTATCATAAAATAGATTAGAGAAGTAATTATATTTTTTGTAATTGGTAATGGGAAAGCTTAGAGAGTGAGATTCTCTTAAATAACTTAAATTATAATTCTTTTGCCCAATTCTAAATTATTTTCTTAATAAAATTCAGAAGTTCTTTTCAATAATTATGGACGAATTCAATCATCAACACACCAACATTAATGATCAGTTCGTTTTGTAAATATATATTTCTCTACACTTATTTCCCTTTATCTCTTGCTTATGTAATTTTATACTTTGTTTTTTGTTTTCAATAAAAAAGAACGATGGAGCAGCCTTTACACAGATGCTTCTTTGGATCTGTTCAATGTTTGGACAACATCTTTGTGTCTTCAAATTCCAAGATAGATCTTTGGCAAAAGAAAGAAACAATTCTGTTACATGAACACCCGCTCTTAGACCAAGATAGAGAGATAGAAAATTTTCTGCTACCTGCTTTCCTTTCTCGGCAGTTGTTTTTGTTCTTGGAAATTGACATAAATTCTTTGTTGCACACCTTTTTGAGTGACAAGGAGAGCATCTGTTAAATATTCACGATTGCCACAAAAAAAAATATTTAATTGTATGCGAAAATGTTTTTTTATGCTTCTTTTGCTTTTCGATTCAACTTCGATTTGCTGAAACTTAGTTGTAAAGAATTACGCTTTCTGACTTATAATATAAAATAATAGCCATCCAAGAGAAAGAAAGGGAGAAAGAATAGATAAAAGTGAAATCTGGCTTGCTTTCGCTTCTGATGCAATTTTGATTTGTTGAAACTGAGTTGTTTTAGTTAGTTTGGGAAGTGATGATCTGAGTTAACTCATATCAAACACTCCATCACATGCTTCTAGATATGTTATCTTATTAGCATGACACAAAATTCTAGTGGAGGAGGTTGTGGGATCGCTGGTACATGACATTCACCACTTGCTTGTGTTAATAGGGTTGAATAGCTATATGATATTCATACAAGACCAACTTTAACGCAGGAGCATATGCAATTACTTACCTAGATTTTGTGAAAAAGTGATTCCACGTATATAATTGCTTGTAGAAGCATCGGTACTAATAAATATGAGCCTAAGTGAGGTTGATGGTGTAGAAAAATAAGATACCTGCACAGATAAAGTTAGCCTCAGAATGTTTAGTTATGTGTTGTATTTGGTTTTTATTTTTGTTCTGTATTAGCATTCACCATCACATTCATCATCACAACGACAAGTTCCATCTACAATAACTTCTCAATTTCAGAGAGGCTAGGTGAAAAGTTGAGAAGTGCACATTTGATTTAAAGTTGAGTAAAATTAAATTTAATAAAATTGATTTAGAGTCGTTGAATGTGATTGAAATCCATGCATAAATTAATCTGAACTACATACTTTTTTCATTAAAATGAACATTTTTCATCAGAAAAGTACAAAAAGTGGGAGAATTGATGTTATAACTTCAAAACAAACAAGCCCTCAACAAAATGCCGAGAAGTGGACCCTCATACTAAACTGAATTCGAGCATGAATAATGATTAACTACCTAATTTAGAAAATAAACGTGAGCTTTAAGCCCACACAAAAGGATCGTGATTGAGCTATCTTAGAATGAATACAGAAAAATCTTGTGTTAAACATAAGATGATTGACAGTGTTGACAAATAATGATATAAACTCCTAGTTTTGGCTCTGCCTTTGGCTTGCAGAGCATCCTTGCATGGATAACCAAAGATGCGCTGGAAATGATAATTTTCTGTAGTTATAAGTTTATAATCCAACATTAATATCAAAAGTAACATATATAAGTTCAACGAATATCTCTAGTAAGGCCATTTCTCATGTTACTATTTGCTGCTAAATGGTCATGGTCATGTTATCCTAACAGCGAGCGTTACTAGCACGGCCATATGACAACTCGTTAGTCATAAAAGATAGATTAACAAAAATTAAAATAAAATAAAATGAAAAATACATTACCAATACAATTTAAGGATTGAAACACAAACCATTTCCTTTCAGGATTCCAATTCAAGACGCAATTAGTCTCAACAGTTAATACACTTTCAGATGTTGAATAAATTTTAGTTGAGAAGCATTCGTCAAGATAAAGCTTTTGTTTTCCCATCATATATGGATCCAATAGTGTTCAATTTTTAAAACAAATAAAGCTCCTGGGCTTGTATCTTATTATGGATAGAAACCATAAGAAAATTGTACAAGGCCAAGTAATCGGTTTACTGAACATAAAAACATTGCATGAAAGATTTGACCATGTTTGATTACTGTACAGACACACGTGAACCACAACTAAAATTAAGGAAAGTGTATTCTACCAAGAAGGAATTTCTTTAACACCTTGCACCGTTGACCAAAAATGAAATACTGGTCAAACCAAGGATTATTTTGCAGTTCTTGAGTGTTTGATCAGCCAGTCAATGACCACATCTATGTTTACTGAGTCCTTGCATGAAATCATATAGCAGCAAACCTCTCTGTCTTTGATTGACTCAAGTCCTCTGAAATCATCCAAGGTGAAAAACCAAAGGTTTAATCAGTTACATAAGGCATCAAGACAAATTTCAATTAAAAATATTATACAATAATATATATTTCTAGAACAATTTCTTAAATTGTCTGAACTCACAGCTGATCTACCAATGCTTGCTTAGAAAGAGCTTCTGACTTGTCAATTTTGTTTCCAAGAACAAGCAAAGGAATCCCACTCAAAGAAGGTTTCGTCAATAGCTCATGTAACTCACTTCGAGATATTGGAACACCGTCTCTATCAGCAGCATCTACAACATACCTGTCTTTACATCCATCAATGAAAGGAAACAAAAGTGTAAAAGCACAGAGAAAAGCCACTTCCAATTACTTGAAAGGGCTGTATGATACACTCCACCAAATGAATCACGCATGATCAATCTTCCTTTTGATAATTAGAAACCATAGTTTTTGATAAAACCAAGCATTAAGTTTTCCATTCTAAATGTTTTAAACAAAAACAGCAAAGAAGACAAGCAGACAACAGTATACAAAATGCTGTGTGGGTTCAGTATCCTGTATTATAGGTTGTTAGAGATCTAAGCAACATGAAAGACAATATCTCGGTGCCTTTCCTAATGGAAAATACTTCAATGATGATTGAAACATCATATGGAATTAGAGACTCTTCCATGAGGAAAAGAGTTCAGTTCTTAATGCCTCCATCTCATATCAAATTCAGCTTCCGTATATGTAGTGATGAACATATGCTTTGTCCACACTTAAATCCCAATGTCTATTTTCATGAAGGTGCATATTAGAGCTCTAAGTCAAACCTATTCCTAGGTCTTCACTTGATAGCTTAAATAAACTTATAAGAGTGGGCTCACTAACATTATTCTTTCTGCGAATAAGATCTTAGGAGGTCTTGTGTTTCAAGGTATATGACATTTCAAGAAAGACTGTGATTAGGATTCAGGAGTATACTAGCATTTAATATTTTTGGGAATGTTTTGCAAAATTCAAATGATAGGAGAAACAGATGTGGTAGAAAGAGGTGGGAGTGGCAGTGGTTCAATGACAAGGTAACTTGGGAATGGGAAAGCAACTTACCCATCCCTCATCATGGGAGCAAAATTGAGGGAGCAAAATTTAGGAATGTTTCACTGGGAATTAATAATGCTCATTTATTTATTTATTTTGAGAAACAAATTATAAGAAACAATGGAATATCATATTCCCAAGTTCACTTTCCCAAATATAATATTTCTTGAAGCAAATGCACCCTTAGGGTATCTCAAGTAAAGAAGGGATGAAATTGAACTCTATTTAGAAACACCAATGATGAAATTGAATAATGCAGACAATTTCCTGTTCGAAGTCTAAAAAATGTAATAAAACCAAGAGCTGTTATTTTGAGGTACCTAAAATTCATAAGTTGATGTATGTCTTTCAACTTATTTTGGAGAAATAACAATTTATTTTGCCAGCTTTCTTAGAGAACTTTGAAGAAAAAGAAATCAATTTCCTTAATATATTCATATGCTATTTGCATAACTACAGGCAACTTGTGATCCAAAACCATTGCAACTCACATGCAAGTGTATATACCTAAGCCTGCACAAATGAATATATGCCTGAAAGAGAGAGCATTAAGAGAGACAATACACAATAGCTGAGACACCACGGCAGTAACGCTCCCACATTGTTCGAAACCTCCTCTGTCCACCAAGGTCCCAAAGCTTTATTGTGACATTTCCCTTCGTAACTTTTCGCATGTTGAACCCAACCTGGGTTTAACATCAAAAATTATATTTCAATTACAAATGCACCATTCTTACAATCTTCAAATACATAACCTAAAACATAATCAAAAGCAAAGATACACACAGTTGGAATCATATCTTCACTGTATCCTCCAGTCTGTAAACAAAACAAAAGACCAATGTCAAAACAAGGCCATGAGAGCAACAATTGAGTTTAAGGGTTCGTAAATTGCAATGCAGCATCAACAACTCACAGCAATTGAATTAACAAGAGAAGTCTTCCCAGCATTCTGAAGCCCCACAAGGGAAAGTTCCATCTCCTGTTTAAAAAATAAACTAAGACAACACACAAAAATCAGAATCATTGAAGAACTTAACATAAAAGAAACCCTTAAATCAATTAACCTATCATAGTGGCACAAAGCTTTAAATTTTAAGGCTTTTTAAATCTCAATCAATGACATATGAAATTTGTGAAGCATATCCTAACAGCCTAACAGTTGGTATGAAATTTCACAGAGAATATTGGGAAAAAAAAATCCAAACGAAGTTTAAAAGAAAAAAAATATATAAATAAAATATTAATGTAGAAAAGGGGTTACCTTCGGAGCCAATTGAGGAAGGAATCCCAGAGACCCATTGTGAATCGTGGAAAGTGAAAAGGGAAATTGAAAGAGAAAGAGGAAAATAGGAGGAAAGAAGAAACTTGGCCGAATGCAAAAGCACGGAATGTTAAGGAAGAAAGGATTGGAATCTAAAATGCCAAAACGACAACATAGGTGTTGTACCCTTTTTCTAGTACCTTGTTTTGCATATAACCGCTGCTTCAACCGATACTTGTACACTCCATACTGTTCGTTCGCTCTCATTTCTCAACACAAGCAAAATTTTGCTATCATTAATATAATCGTATGTACAGTTTTTGGGAATTTATGTTTTTGGATGATTAATATAATCAATATATACAATTTTTAAACAATTTGATTGTTTAACCCCTCCATTTTAATATTCACCTTACACTACTTTGTATTTTTAATTTTTTTTAATCATAATCACTCGTAATATCTATGTTTTTAGTTTTTTTTTCTTCTGCTTTTCTTATTTCATTCTTCACATCTTAAAATGAGTGGTGGAAACATTTTTCATTTTTAAAACCCAAGGTTAATATTGTGACACAATTCTTCAAATTGTTTTCTAACATTTCTTACTTCTTATCTGTTTCTTTCTAACAAATTATTTCACTTTTATTCTCTTTAATCAAATTAAAAAAAATACATCCTTGTTCATATTCCCCCCTCCCCCCCTCTTTTTTTTTTTTTTTTCTCTATACAAAGGGTTAAAAACTATGCAGATAATGATGTTGTTCTCATCTAGTGTTGAGTCAGATACCTGAGAAAGAAAAAGAAAAGTCCATGACTCCATTGCAGTGTGGCACTTGAACAATTCTTTTTCTCAAAACAGTTGAAACTTATTTTTGACTCGATGTCGAAAGAACTAAACATCACGTTTGATGCACAAAGTAACAATGATATTCCATGAATCGTTAACTTTTATTCCATGAAACGATAACTTCTATGTTGTTATAAAAAGGAACGTAAATTGATGATGCTATTTTAAGACTTCTTTTTTGGACACGTGTTTTTTTCTTAAGTTTTATTGTATAGAAAGGTGCGATTGATGACAGCTTTTAACCAACAAATGTAATAAAACGTGTTTATTATCATTTTGTAAGAAATTAAATGCGAGTCAACATTGGTTTAAGAAATGAATCTTTGCATCCGATACATAATATATATGCACCCGCAAAAAAATTGTATTTATTTGTTAATTTTAGTCTTTAGAGGAATATTGAGTCATTTTGAATTAATTTTGATTTAATTTAAAACAAAATTCATACAATAAACACAAACGAATTGAAAGTCTTTCTATTTCATTCTAACTTATTCTCTCTTAAATTCTATAAGATGTCTCTAGTTTTATAAATAAATTTCAATATAAAATATGGATAAAACTTTTTTATAAATAAAAAATATCAATTTTTCTCAGGTCTTCGGTTTGCAACAAACATAAATACACATATTTTTCCTTATTACTTTGTTTTGATGTAAAAATAAAGTAAAGGGTTTTGCATGGGTTCACTTTTTCTTTTTTCTCTTTCTCCTAAACTTTTTACTCCAATGAGTAATTTTCGAGAGGTGTGTTTTCTATTTCTAGGAAGGTGCATCCTCAATCTATTGTTCCAAACTATACGTACTCGCAACACATGACCTTCTAATGTCTTTGTCCTTTGTATTTAATGAGTGCACTTGCTTCAGCAATAGCTCTTAATAAATTTACTCTATAAAATTTATATAATAAAACATTTTCTATTTTCCTTTTTTTATCCATATAAAATACAGATAATTTATATAATACTTTAAAGATTAAGAGGTGGTTTTATATAATGTAAAATAATCATTATCATTCATGTTATATATATATATATAAAAGATAGTAAGGGTTAATAACTTATTTTAAAAAGATAGAAGATTATATTTTAAACTTAAAAATGTAATAGCAAGCACAAAAAATAAAATCAAGTTACACCACTATCTAAAACCAAAAACTGTTTGCCCATGGGCCATGGCCCTTTCCCTCTTTTTGTGTTTGTCTTCCTTTGTGGGCCGAGAGTATGTGGGTTTTTATTGGGTTAGTTATCATTTAGGGCTCCTGCGTTTGGCCCAAGAAGGCTGATGGGACTCCTATATTCTAGGCTAGTGGGTTAAAGGAAAACGGGTCAGGCCTATTGGATGGGTCATTATATAGTTTAAATTAGTGCGTTAATTAATGAACAAAAAAAATAGTGGGTTAATTGTTATTTAGTTTAATTTTTACTTTTTTTGGGGTATAAATTGATGTTTAAAATCTGTCATAAATAGTTCGAAAATATAGAGATAAACACGAAAAATGAAAAAGAGAATATGTGAAATGGCATATTGTTTGGATAAAATTAATGCTTCGTTATCAAGTTTGTTTTTATTTTTTCTTAATATAATTATTTTTTTTAGTTTTAGTAAAATCATTTAGAAAACCTTTCGTTTTTTAAATCATGCAAAGATCCATGGTAGTGATTGAATTATGGATAAAAATATGGATCTTCAGAGATACAAATCTTATATATTTCAGAAACTAAAAGTTTCCCTTTATATATAATTTGATATAGTTATAGTTTTTTATTTAAAAAAAAATTGTTATGTATAAACACAACAGCATTTGCATTTCTGCAATATTAAAGGCAATAATTTGAGAGAAACTTCAATCAAGTTAGTAAAATATAATTATTTTTAAATTTATATTTATTATAAATTATATATGATAAAGAAAACAAGATTTCCACCACCAAAAATAATATTTCAACCACTTGAAATAAAGTTGAATTAAATTTATTAATAAATGAAAAATAAACCAATAATATAGGAATAAAATTCCATATGGAATAGAATATTTTATTTTTCCAAAATATTGCCAATTGGATAGATGAAGCCGAACTAAATTATAGTAAGGCCCATCATCTTAATTTTGCTAATTTGATAGAGCTTTTTACTCTGAAGCTTAAAAATAGTTATTCTTTCATCATATTTTGCTAATTTGCGTCAATGGTCATTATTAATTTAACTATCTAATCTTTGGAATTGGTTGGCTTTGACAATATCTTTGCCTAATTTTTCTTGATGGGTCACTCTACGTCTCTGCCAAAAAAATGTAATGATAAATAAATACATATAAATATTTTCACTAAACACGAAAGCAGTGGCTGAGATTTTTTTGTCAATTACTTAAATAATCCCTAAAAATCTCAGCTACTCCTTTGGGCTCTATTGACTTTCATTGGTGACAATCTTTGTCTTGCATTCGTTATTTTTCATACTAAAACATGATGATAGCATTTCTTCAGTAGCGTCTGCGTTATGGCTAAATTATTGTACTTGTTCCTCAAAGCTATTTTTAATAGAATGACGTGCTTGATTAATCTCATCATGAATGCAACGTTTTTGACGCATGTCACACGACAATAATTGAAAGTTTATATATAAAATGCAATGCATTATCGAAATTCCATCAAATATCTTAAAGAAAAACAATTGGAGAAGAAAAATCATCCCCGTTGCCTTTTTTTTCCTTCCAAAATTTCAAATATAATATTTTCCCCTTTGAAATTTTGTGGAGTTGAGGGACGCACCTGTTAACGTTGCAGTTGACCATGAAGTCAGCAACGTCAAATTTTAAGCTCCGTGATATAGCAATTATGATGTAAGCATGAAGTGTCATAAAATAATGATTAAATTAATTTTTAATTTCTGAAAATACACTCAGTTTTAATTATAATTAAAAAAATTGACATGAAGTAATATTTAAGTTAATCACATCAACATTTAACGATGATTAAAAGTTAAAAATACAAATTAAAATAGAAAATAATTTTACAAAGATGAAAACAAAATAAAATAATTTTTTAAATTAAATTGAATCATATAAACATGCCTACACGAAGGAAAATACTGATATTATACACTGACCACCTAATAATTGAGCGAATCATAATTGAGATTTTTCATATGTATGTTGATAGCTGTATACGCATGCACTTGTGTTTGTCTAAAGGTGTTAACAGAGTAGAGAGGAAGTTTAAAAGAGCACGCTGCTTCATATATAGTGTGTACTTTTATAATTAATTTCATTAAAAATAGCATTAGATATGATAAAACTTTGCAATTAGGCAGAATATATATATATGGAAAGGTGGGGAGTTTCATGATTCTCAAAATTGTTGCTCCTTTTGTCAAGAATTTATTCATTTTGTTGGATGATTTTGAAAATCATTGTGCCCAATGACTTTGCAAACCTAACTAAGATTTCCAATACTTTTTAACGTAATAACACAGGCATCATTGCTCATTCAAGCTGTGTAGGACAATTCTTTCTCTCACTGGCATGTGAAAGGGCTAAAGAAAATGCTCAGTGGTTGCATACACAAGCCACACGTTAGAATGACCTCATTAGAGAATAAAATTAAATAATTTTACAAAAGGACCGTCAAAAGTTCAAAGTCACTATTATATATGACTTGTTAGAAATGGCTTATTAGGTGGCACTTTTGTTTGATAATTTTGCTAGCAAGTAACACTACCAAGACAAGTCCAAAATTGGTAGGTATGCACGTCAAAGATTTATACTCTACTTGGAGGGATTCAATAAACCATACATGCTACGTAATTTAGCAAACAAACCAGCGATAGTTTTGTCAAGAAACCAGGACACAAAAAGAAAGACGGTATTCACAAATTTTCAACTTAAATAAATATATATACACACACAAAAGACTTTGATGTAATAATACCCTAATTCTACCCTTTTTTTATTAATTAACTTGTTTATTTTATATTAATCTTGCTTATTAATTTTTAATGTTGCAAATAAATATACTTTATGAATTAATGTATAGGTGAATTATAAAGAGATTTGTGATTTAGTTCTATTGATTTTTTACTTTACACTAATTAATTATCCATTTTATGACAAATGTGCAAAATAATTACGAATTTTGTACAGGGTAAGTATAATAAAAATAATAAATGTTTTAAAAAATTTAAAGTGATAAATAAATTTTTAAATAATGAAAAATAAAAAAATGAAATAAATAGAAACTTGTCAAAGCCTATGAGCTTATACCTACACAATCTTACTGTAAAGAACTCAAACTCGGTGAAGATTTATAATTTCAACTTGGGGACCAGTAACTGTTGGGAAGAAGCAGAATTAATTAATGTGAATATTCAAGAAGCCTCCTATGTTTATTAAATCTATAGATTCTTCCAATTTGGAGACACAACTTGATTTTTGGGACCTATTTTAGAG